GGAGAGTGAGTATGTTGTACGTTTGGGAAGAAGGGTTGGTATTTGGTGGCTGGAGGGACAGACTGTAATGGTGATTGTCACATCATGTGCCCTTAAAATCTTCTTCCTCCATATAGAACAGTTACAGAGTTGTAGATAGGATGTAGCTACTCAGGTGGGGACGCTATTCCTAGCTCTTCTTGCAGCAAGGGTGCCTTTTGTCGAAGTTCTCACCGGTGGAATGTGAACAGAAACATCTTGTGCAAGGTCTACCTCACTTGTTAAGATGAGACATTTGTGCCTGAATCGCTCTGACCCCTTCCTGCTGCCGTGCTTGGCAAGGACTAGAGCAGCCTTAGAAGCCTTATGTTGAAGATAAAAAGCTGGTTATCTACATATACTTTTATGTGAGTGAGAAATGAACTTTGATTTTGTTTAAGCCATTGCACTTTTGGGTCTTGTTTGTTATAAGATCTTACATTCCCCTGTACACCTGTGTTGGACTTTGTGTTTCCTATAACCCACGTAGGAAGACTTTTCTTAGCTTATTCCTTTATTTTGGTGGAGCACCTTCTCCATTTGCTGTCTTAGAAGCTGTGCTTGGGCGGGTAAGTCTTTTGAGATCTGAATTCCTTTGCATTTGACCTGTTTTTATCCTTCTGGAACCTTTAAGGATCTTCTGTTTGTCTCCAGTGTTCTAGTGTGTGTCTATTTTCAACCATTGTGCTGGGTACTCAACCCTTTCAATCTGGAAAGTTGTATCTTTCACTTCTGGGAATAAAACATTTTTTCTTTGATGATTCCCTCCCCTGCTTTTTCTCTGTCTCTATTCTTAGCAAAACTCTTAATATACAGATATTGGCTTTCCTTGCCTGGCACTCAAATTTTCTTAGGTTTCTCTCTTAGCTCCCATATGTTTGTCTTTTTGCTTAACTTTTTGTGAAATTTCCTCATTATTTATCTTCCTTCTACTGATTTTCTTGTTTGTTCTCTGAACATTTCTTTTTAAAATAACACCCTGGTCTTGTTTCTTGGTTATAGACCTTCTTACCCCCTGAAGATATTATTGATAGATTTTGTAAGTCTTTTTCTTCCTGTGTGTGTTGTTCCTTCTAAATTGCCATTTCTTCTTCCTTTTGTGTGTGTCTTGTTCAGATTTCTTTCTCATTAAATGATCTTCTCAACCATGCGGTGATCATATTACAGTGTGGGGACTCAGGGCACCAGCTGACTCAGTTGGTAGATCGTGCAACTAACACAAATGTCTCATCTTAACAAGTGAGGTAGATCTTGATCTTGGGATTGTGAGTTTGAGCCTCACATTGGGCATAGAGCATAGTTAACAAAAATAAAAATGAAAAAGTAAAGTGTGGGTGATGTAGTTTTTTTTTTAATGTTGTTGGTGGTGGAGTCTGAAGCCTACAGCCAAGAAAGAATTCTTGAGACTTCTCTGGTGCAAAATGATGGTTTTATTAAAGCCCAGGGACAGGACCCATGGGCAGAAGGAGCTGCTGCCCTGGGAGTGTGAGGAACAGCTGATTATATACATCAGGGTTGGGAGAAGTAATGATAAGGGAAATTCCAATAGAATTTTCATATGTTAAAGAAGACTCAGGATCTTGGAGGAATGTTATAATCTGCCTATCTCAAGTATCTGTCAGTGGGCTGCAGGTTATAAGGAAATTTAATTTTATCCACACTTCCTTCCACCTTTGTTTCCCACATCATGAGGACTAACAAGGTGTTTGGAAGCTCAGAACATATAAATAGGGTTTTAATTGTGAATTTAATTATGGGGTGATCTGGCTGGGCCATCTTCCAGGGGAGCCCTAACTTCTGCATCTGTACATCTCTCGTTCCCATTCCCCAAAGAAGATTCTTCTAATCTTCTGCCAGTGTTCTTAGAGCTGAGTGGAGAAACTGGGCTGGGGCTGTGGGAGAGATTATTTGATAATTCAGTAAACACATACTTGTTTAATGTTCCTTCTGTTACCCACTCCCGAAGGGAAAACTTAGTCTTTTTTCTAGAAAGGGGATGGTTAGTGGTCAGTTACTCAGAGCAGGAGAAAGGGACCTAACTGCTTCTCTAACAGTTTTAACCAATCTTCCTAATTACAGGACCTCTCTCTATCTCCTCTGCTACTTCCTGAGATGCCTGAGTTATCAGGCCCGAAACTTTATGATGATTCTATGATGCAAATAAAGTTGCCCTTGGGCTTTTCCTATTACTGGTTTGCTAAATCACCTACTACATGTCCATTTTTTGTGTGTGTGCAAAATCTTGTGGCTGTCAAATCCTCTCCCATCCTCCTCATCCTTATGGGTTTAAGAAACATACCCATAAAATATTTTTATCTTTTTTAAAGTATTTTATTTATTTATTTGATAGCGCGTGCTCCCGAGAGAGCTAGCAAGAGCAGGGGAGGAGGGGCAGAGGCAGAGGGAGATGAAGAGGGAGAAGCAGCCCCCCCGCTCAGCAGGGAGCCCAAAGCCGGTTCTATCCCAGGACCCTGATACCATGACTTGAGCCAAAGGCAGATGCTTAATCAACTGAGCCACCCAGGTGCCCCCACCTATTTTGTGTTTTCAACAGAGTTTTAGGAGGAAGAAAATGGAGACGCTTCTATCCAATCTGACGTCTATGCCCAGGAGCTACTCCTACTTCTATTCATTCCTACTGCAATTGCTCTCTTTTGAGCCACTATCACTGCTTGCCTGGTCCACTGTAGCAGCCTGCCAACTGCCCTTCCGGGCTTGTTCTTTCCTTATCTATTTTATTACACTGAAGCCAGAGTGGACTTTTTTCAGAACAAATGTTATTTCTCCACCTTCCTTTATAACCTTGACTCCGTTTTGTTCTTAACTTGTAAGACCTGGCATCATCTGGCCTTGCCCTGCTTTCATCCTCATCTTCCAACTTTCTCCCGGTTGCTCACTGGCTTCCAGCCAGACCCTAAGCCATGTTTCTCTTCACACCCAAACGTGGCATCTCAGTGTATTCCTATTTAATGCAACCTTACTGCAATGATCTCTTACTGCTTTCCCCACCAAAATTTCCAGTTAACTTCTCCTCATTGACTTTCAGGTCTGGACTTTAATTTTTCTTCTTCAAAGAAGCTTTTCAAGTCACTCAACAGTATGTAGGTCCTTTGTTGATGGTCCTATTGGTCTAAATACTTGCTATCTTTCCCCCAGAGAAGGGTTTGACCTCCCTCTCTTGATGGTGTCAATATTCCACGTAACACACTTGGGAATTTTTTTTAAGATTTTATTTCTTTATTCATGAGAGACACACAGAGAGAGAGAAAGAGAGAGAGAGAGAGGCAGAGATAGGCAGAGGAAGAAGTAGGCTCCCCGTGGGGAGCTCAATGCAGGACTGCATCCCAGGACCCCGGGATCATTACCTGAACCAAAGGCAGACACGAAACCACTGAGCCACCCAGGTGCCCCACACTTGGGAATTACTACATTACAACTTTCATCACACTATAGTTTATTGTCAGTATGTGTTTAATTTTCTGTCTTCCTGGTCAAACTATAAGCTCTAAGACGGAAGGGTCTTGTGTCTATCTTAAACACCACAGTGCCCTCAGTGTTTAGGATATTGCCTTTCCCACCCCACAGGAATGACAGACTCTCTCCTGACCAAATCTAGCAAGCTTTCTAGTAGTTTAAGGTCATGTCCCTAGAACGACCCCAGTCCTCCTTAAAACGCCTGCCTTGAGAAAGCTCAACACTGTCAGAATAATTCACTGTTCCAGACAAAATCTGGTGCTAGGCATATAGGCACCCCCACTCCCAACTCCTTTTCAGAGCAGTTACTTTAAAAAAACTTGTAATTATAAATCCCTTAGAATTTTGAGATGCAAATCTGCCACACAACCGTCTTCTCAAGGCCCATCTCCTCCCAGCCTGGTGGTGTATTGCTCTAACCTGTACAAGTGGCTGTCATAGAGAAGTTTGTTTCTCCTCCAGATAAGTGCCAATTAACAAACCAGGTGGCCTAGTCGCATGGACCAACGTCCCTTGGCACCTCTCAGTGCTTTCCCCTTAGCACTCCAGTCTTTAGAAAGCCTCCAGTCTTTTGTTTTGGGGAAGTTTAGTTGAGTTCACGATGTACCCTCTTTTCTGTTGTAATAGTTGTTACTGAGTAAAATCTACCCTTACTGCTTGAACCAGTGTCTGGCTTTATCTCTGACGGTAAGCGCACTAAATAGTTACTGAATTAAATAGGCTCTATGCAGCCGTGAACAGCTGCAGGGGAGGAGTTACATGATGTCAAAGCTCCTTCGGGGTCTATCTTCTTCTTCCACACCCCACAAAGCTACTTATCAGTCATTTTTTTACTTCATAATCTCTAACTACATGAACGATGACAATTACATCCAAATCATCCACAGTGCATTTTGGGATTCAACTAATCAGATTATTGCAGAGAGCTACAGAAAGCTATTTTAAAAGTGGCACCTCTAAATTTCAATCCCCTGGTTCCTCTTTTAAACACGGCTTAAAAACTTCAAAAGTTTTTGCCATTTCTATTTCTGGGCCTACAAAAAAGAGTTCAGTTCAGTCCAGAAAGACATGTGGGCGGGCTGGAAGTGAGAGCGAGCGTGGGTGAGCTGGGCTCAGCTTTGGCTACAAATGGCTCACACACCTCTTCCCTCCCAAAGCGGGCAGCACACACTGTCTGCTCCTGCAGGCTTGCGCTGTTTCTTCAAAATCTTTGCTAGTTACGTTCTCCGGTGGGTACTTTTAGGAGGCCCGGAGCGCCCCACCCCCGCAATCTCGGACCCTCACTCGGCGTCTGCTAATGCCTTGATTCAGAACCTGCGGCAGCGCCAGCCACGCCCACGCTCCAGCCCCAGACTCGGCCCCGGCAGCACCTGGGCGTGTCACGTGCCAGGAGTCGGGCGTGAAGCCAGCGCCGCCATGTTGGTTTCTGGCGACGCTTTCCCGGGGAAGGGGAAGGCCGCTTCCTCAGCCTCCCCTTGTTCCGGGGCCTTGTGCGCAAGTGCGGAAGTGTGTTGGCCCCGAGTGTGACCGGTTTCCGGCCGGTGGTGCTGCACCGGCTGCCAGGAGACGTGTAACGGACGGTGGGCCGCAGCCATGGCCGAGAGGAAACCTAACGGTGGTGGCGGCGCCGCGTCCACCTCCTCATCGGGCACTAACTTGCTCTTCTCCTCCTCGGCCACGGAATTCAGCTTCAACGTGCCCTTCATCCCAGTCACCCAGGCGGCCGCTGTCTCGGCCTCCTTGCTCCTGCCGGGAGGTAGTAGGGAGGTGGTGCGGGATCCGGGGGGACGCGGGGGGCGTGGGGTCACGGCGGTCGGGTGGGAGCTTTTCCGTCCGTCTCCATCCAACTCCGTGGGTTGATGCCACGGCCATTAGCGGCCCGATTTGAGTGACCCGGGAGCGCCGAGATGTCGGAGGCGGGGGCCGGATCCTGAGGCTTTTGCTCGTCGTCCAAGGAACCCTCCTCTGTCCCGAGGGCTGGACACTCCACAGTGGCACTGGCACTGCCCAGATTTCTGTTGTGTCTGTAGTGGTGTGCCCGGTGCTGGCGGGGAACGCGAAGAAGTTAGTGCCCCGTAACTAGGTTACAGTCGGGTATCCCCTAGGGTAGACGTGTAATACCTGCCAAGTGGAGGCACAGAATGCAGCGCTTCACTTTGTCTAGGAAGCTCTTTCTGGTTCTCCTTGGCCCCCACTTCTGTGCGCACCCCAGCTCATCCATCTCTTTGTTGTTGTCTAGGGGTGTTGCTTTTTCATGGCTGCGGGACATAACCCAGAGCATGGTATTTAGGAGCGCAGACCGTGTTTCAGCCCTGGCTCTGCCAGGAATTAATTGCTGTAGGGCTCCAGGCATGTTACTTTCCCTCTCTGTGCTGCTTCACTGTGCCTATCTGGCCAGCCTCGTATAAGGCTGTAATGAGAGGCGGATTGGTTTTTGTATCATGTTTGTGAAGGCCACGTATCCGCCTCGCTATTTGGACTGTGGCCTTCCTGCAAGTCTGCAGCTCCTGCTACAGAGTGTGCTAGAGTGCGTGCAGAGGAGTGGCTCGAGTAGTCAGTGGTACAGCCTGACCACTCAGGGCCTCGAATACCGTGCGGGGGAGTTTATGGTTCCTCCTATGGGTTGTGCGGGAGCCTTCGGAGGACTTTAAGTTAACAAGGCAGTAAACTTAGAGGTATGTTTCAGAAAGACTGGAGCTTTCTGAAATTGCAGCGGAGGAAAGCTGACTGTAACAAGAGTGGTCAGTCTGGTAGAGCGGATGGCACTCTAGCCCTAGCCAGCCACGTTGGGCATGAGGACCAGGGATGAGAGGTGAGAGATTTTTTTAGTCTATAAATTGTTTGACTTAGTAACTCACTGGAGGTCAGACTGTCGGCACTGGCACTGTCAGCGTGCTTCTCTTCTTTCAGTTTTTTTAGCCCAAAGACCTGGCTCCTTAGCTGGCATATAATGAATACAATCTACATGTTTCTTTATTACTTTTTTTTTTAAAGATTTTAAAAAAAGATTTTATTTATTTATTCATGATAGACACACACAGAGAGAGAGGCAGAGACACAGGCAGAGGGAGAAGCAGGGAGCCCGACACGGGACTTGATCCCGGGACTCCAAGATCATGCCCTGGGCCAAAGGCAGGTGCTAAACCGCTGAGCCACCCAGGATCCCCCCTCCCACCCTTTTTTAAAAAGATTTTATTTATTTATTTGAGAGAGAAAGAGACAGCATGAGCGGGGGTGGGGAGGGGCAGAGAGAGAGAGAGAGAGAGAGAGAGAGAGAAGCAGACTCCCCGCTGAGCAGGGAGCCTGGTGCGGGGCTCAATCCCAGGATCCTGAGATCATGATCTGAGCCGAAGGCAGACGTGTGAAACCAACTTAGCCACCCAGGCGCCCCTGTGTACATGTTTCTTGAATGTGTATCTGAAGGATTGAATGAAGGGATTGAGAAATGACGAGGGTGGGGGAGCCTAAGAGACGATGTTTTGATTTGAGTGTCTGGATGGATGTTGGCAAACATCTGTTGAGCCAGGTAGTAAAAGAAGCACATGAAGGGGGATGGTTAAGGTGATACATTCATTTTCAGGCTTACCGAGTTTGAGGTGTATGTGGCTGTATCTGCCAAAAGTTTGAGGAAGCAGTTGAGTAATAGATTCTGGAGCACATGAGAGCAGTCTCGGTTTGAGACAGCTGGGAGTGTCACGAGTGTACAAGTGCTCATTAAAGTTGTGAGTGTCTTTTACCAAATGTGTCCACGTGTAATTAGAGAGTGCCCCTGAGGGGAGCTGGCAGCATTTTGAGATCAGCATTCCATTTACAATTGATGCTAAGTAGAAAAAAGTTTCTTGGATCAAGCTGATCCTAAGTTGTCTTAAAGGACAAAGGATACCACAGAGGTTTTTTTCCCATTCCATGTTTTTAGTGTTGAGAGATGAACTGAGAAATAAAACAAGTGAAGTCCAGGCAGATGAAAAGAGAGAGTGGGCACTGGAAATGTTACCAAAAAGGGGAATAGAACCAGTAGACAAAGGGCTTTGTGCAGGAGGTGATATTTTATTTTTAGTTACAAAGAAACAACTGAGAAAAGTATTTAGAATAGTAGAGTATCTTAGTTAAATTGATATGTGAGAAATAGAATGGAGTAACAGAGAAGCTCAAGCCAGAATCACTGTTGGGTCCAGTGGCCTTCTTCTGCCGAGGTCAAGAAGGATTCTGAAGCTTGAAAGAAGGCCGGTCGGACAAGGATCACAGTGTACTGTCTGCTGGGTGTGGGTCCTCCGTTGGGATTCGTGCTTCTAGCAGTAGGAGATAAGAGGGAATGAGACTGGAGAAGGAAAAGATTAGGAAGAGGAAAGTTTCTACAGGCTAAGGCTTATAAAAGCTTCGGAAGAGCAGGCTGGACTTTTGAGGCCGAATAGAGGGAAAATCCTTTTATTTTACAACTTGGTTACAGAAGAGAAGATAATTTGATGTTGATAATACCTGCAGCGAAGATCAGTTTGGGCAAAGGGAAGTGATGAGAACTTCGGTTAGAAAATAACTTTTTTTCATGATTTGGCATTCTCTAATGACTAGCTATCTGGTTGTATTACTGTGTGACTTTAGGGATGGCAATTAATGGTTGACCTACTTTGCCTTGGGAATACAAATACTGCATGTTCATTTGTACAATGAATGCTTTGTAGGTAAGAGCCCTGACACACCCCTTCTTGTTGATAGAGTCATATCTGTACTTAAATTTCTTGTTACTGTAGAAATAAAATTATGTGTATTTTGGTAATGGAATAATATTTGAATTATTTTTTACCAGGAAAAAATTCAAAACGAGATTTAAAAATAGTAGGTACAGATTTTTTTTTTGAAGATTTCATTTATTTATTCATGAGAGACACAGAGAGAGAGGCAGAGACACAGGCAGAGAGAGGAGAAGCAGGCTCCATGCAGGGAGCCCGATGTGGGACTCGATCCCGGGACTCCAGGATCACACCCTGGGCCAAAGGCAGAAGCTCAGCCACTGAGCCACCCAGGCGTCCCAGATTTTGTTTTTGAAAATATCCTCATACGGGATCCCTGGGTGGCTCAGCAGTTTAGCGCCTGCCTTTGGCCTAGAGCGTGATCCTGGAGACCCGTGATCGAGTCCCATGTCGGGCTCCCAGCATGGAGCCTGCTTCTCCCTCTGCCTGTGTCTCTGCCTCTCTCTCTCTGTGTCTCTCATGAATAAATAAATAGAATCTTTAAAAAAAAAAAAGAAAATATCTTCATACAAATATGTATAACTTATGTATATTGACAAAATAAATATGTAACTATTTATATTTGTCAAAAAATATAAAAATTCATGTACCAAATTGTTAACAGTGATTGGGAGGTGGGCTTATGGATGAATTCTAATTTTTCCGTTCTTTTGTTGTTTCTTATTCATATTCTCTAGTTTTTCATTTCAAAGAAAAAGGTTTTCTTTTTTTTTTTTCAGTAGTGCAGAAATAGAACAACAAAATGAAAGATACAGTTGCTAGATCTGCCATATAGGATCATATCTGCAGAACAATAGACTATCCTTTAAAGTGTTTGCTCTCTGGTTCCCTTTCAGAGGATTCCACAGATGTTGGTGAGGAGGACAGCTTCCTTGGTCAGACTTCTGCTCACACATCTACCCCACAGACATTTAGTTACTTCTCTCAGGTATCAAGCAGTAGTGATCCTTTTGGGAATATTGGACAGTCACCGTTAACAACTGTGGCAACATCAGCTGGACACTCAGCATTCTTCAAGTCCCCAGCTGCTCTCCCTTTCACAACCGGATCCCAAGATGTGTTGAATGCATGTTCACCATCCATTTCGAAGGCTCAGTATGGTGCTCCACCTTCTTCACAGATGGGAATGAATACTTATCTGCCTTCTCAGCCGAGTAGTCTCCCTCCTTCCAATTTTGGGAGCCCACCGCAAGGAACACCCCAACAGGGACATAATCCGTATCGTCATACTCCTGTGAGCAGCCGGGCTAATCCTTATATTGCACCACCACAGCTGCAACAGTGCCATACACAAGGCCATCCCACCCATCCTCCACCCCCCGGACCCCCTGTTCAGATGTACCAGATGCCTGTAGGATCTCTGCCACCGGTAAGGAAACGTGTTTATATCCTAGCTATTCACTGTGATCTTTTTTTTTTTTTTTTAAGATTTTATTTATTCATGAGAGACACACAGAGAGAGGCAAAGACATAGGCAGAGGGAGAAGCAGGCTCCCTGTGGGGAGCCCTATGTGGGACTTGATCCCAGGACCCTGGGATCACGACCTGAGCTGAAGGCAGATGCTCAACCACTGAGCCACCCAGGTGCCCTCACTGTGATTTTTTATTTCTCTCTCAGCTTATGTTTTTAAAATCACTGCACTTTAGAGAGAGAGAGAGAGAGAGAGAGATAGAAATCGGCAGAGACACAGGCCAAGGGAGAAGCAGGCTCCATGCAGGGAGCCCGACATGGGACTTGATCCTGGGTCTCCAGGATCACACCCTGGGCCGCAGGCGGCGCTATACTGCTGAGCCACCTGGGCTGCCCAAACACTGCACTTTTAAAAGCCAATGTGATGACAAACTATTTTCAGAGGGCATTTTTTGTAAGCTATGTGCTTTGAAGTAAACGTTCGTTTAAAGGTAGCTCATCAAATGGTTCATGTATTAGTTTATATTCTCAGTTTATGGAAGGTGGTACTTGATTTTAATGAGTTAACTACATGTTAGTTATTTCCAGATTTTAGTGTAAGATACCAATAATGTCTTCTGGGGATATGTGAGAGTTCAAGCAGTTATTAACAGACTGCCAGGATCCCTGGGTGGCGCAGCGGTTTAGCGCCTGCCTTTGACCCAGGGCGCGATCCTGGAGACCCGGGATCGAATCCCACGTCAGGCTCCCGGTGCATGGAGCCTGCTTCTCACTCTGCCTGTGTCTCTGCCTCTCTCTCTCTCTCTCTGTGTGACTATCATAAATAAATAAAAAATTAAAAAAAAATAAATCTTTAAAAAAAAAACAGACTGCCAATTTCTCATTTTTTAATTATCCTGTTCAGTCAAAACATTCAATTACAGAGACTAAAATTCATTATTCCAATTTGAATTTATTTTATTTACATTATGAAATTTGGATCTGGACAGTCAGACTCTATCTCAGGAGGGTGATTGAACAATATTTGCATTGGGTAAATTTTATGAATTCCCTTATGCTCTTTTCCCAGCTAATTGTTCAACGGACTTCCACAGGGAAATCAACTGAATCAGAAAAAGGGAAATGATTAAAAGGAAAAATTAAGAACCCAACCCAGTGCGGCAGAGATAGTGATATTATAATCAGAGTAAAACCTAACTTCTCTCTTAGGGATAGAGAATGGACTCTGTTTTATTAATTTAAATCCTATCAACGTGCAAACTTTTGATAATATTAGATTTCAGCATATTGGAAGGTAACTAGAATCACAGTGTGTGGTATAGTTAACATGCTAGTTTTTTGGTTAAATTTTTGGAACAATTTCTAACTAAGAATTTTAAAAATGGTAATTTGAGACTTAAAGTTGCAAGGGCACCTGGGTGGCTCAGTCAGTTAAGCGTCCAACTCTTTGTGAGTTCGAGCCCTTCACTGGGCTCTCTGTTGGGTGTGGAGCCTGCTTAAAAAGAGAAAAGAAAGTTGCAAAAATAAAAATAGCACAAACAGCACTCCAGCACCTTAACCTATGTTTACCTGTCATTAACCTTTTACCCCATTTGTTCTGTCACTGTGAACATGTGTTCTCTCACACATTTGGGCATCCTCTCTCTCCTGTTCTCACTGTGTTATCTGCAATTGTTTTGGGAAACACTTGGTTAGTAGAATACATGATGACTCTTTACTCCTAAGTATTCTTGTGTGTATTTCCTAAGAATAAGAAAGTTCTTTAACATAACCACAGTACAGTTAACCTCAGTAACTTTAACGTTGATACAGCATCCCAAAATGACTTTCAATTAAAAATCTTTAAAATAATTGCATTCTGATTTTAGAATTATTTCCAGTGTAGAAAATTTGAAAAATGCAGAATAGCCAAATAATTAAAAATTGTCCCTCAAATAACCCCTTTTTTCATTTTGTTCTATGTCTTTGTTATATTTTATTTTATTTTATTTTTTTATTTATTTATGACAGTCACACGGAGAGAGAGAGAGAGAGAGGCAGAGACACAGGCAGAGGGAGAAGCAGGCTCCATGCACCGGGAGCCCGATGTGGGATTCGATCCCGGGTTTCCAGGATCGCGCCCTGGGCCAAAGGCAGGCGCCAAACTGCTGCGCCACCCAGGGATCCCATCTTTGTTATATTTTAGACAAATATATTTCTGTGAACATTTTATAGATGTTAAGATTATTTTCTAAAATTATTTTTAATAGTTCTAGAGAATTCCAACATTTAAGTAACATTACTTAATCAGGTCTCTGTTAGACATTTAGATTGTGTCCAGTGATTTTCTATTATAAATGACCTTTTGTGTACATCTTTGTAGGTAAATTTTTACTTGTTTCTTAATTACATCTTTAGGTTGAGTTCTTAGAAGTGGCCAGGTCAAGAAATGTACAAGTTATAAAGATGAACTAAATTGTAGAAGACATAACTGCTAGATTCATTTCTGTGAAGGTGCTGGTTTACTTTGCTATCAATGTGAGAAAGCCCAGATAACACTGGTGTTGGGCTTTGTTAGGTTCTTTAAAAATTTGAGTTGCTTTAAGGCCTAATTATTAATCTAAACGGTTGTCTAGAAATATGTGTAGGGTAATCATTACAAACATCTCTGGGTCTGAGGCGTACATGGAATTTTTTTTTGGAGTAATGACATAGTCCTAATTTTTTTGGCTCCTTCAGATTCCTCCTTCAGTGCCATCAGGGTTGAGCCCTCCAACGCAACAGCAGGCACTTGCTAGACCTGCAGGTCCCTCTGTGCACGCGCCACCTTTTCTACTTCAGAACCAGTACGAACCTGTTCAGCCCCATTGGTTTTACTGCAAGGAGGTAGAATACAAACAGCTATGGATGCCTTTCAGTGTGTTTGACTCTTTGAATCTTGAAGAAATCTATAATTCAGGTAAGCACTGATTATGCATCGCCTGTATTTGATTTTAGGACGAGAAGAAGTAAAGAGTGATTTATCCATGGCTCGCTTTTTGTGTGTGTCAGATTCCTTAGTCCTGGTGGACTCCACCAGACAATACCTTAAGATAATGATATTAATGTACGTCCTGAGTTATTAGAGCAAGGTTTTTAAGGAAGTGTTTTAATAATTTTCTTCTTTGTTTAAAGGTGTTTTAGATTAGAGAAATAGAGTAGTTCCTATAAGGTGGGTGTCAATTTTCGTTATTTCCCTTATTCATTTATAGTTACGGGCATTTATAAAACATCTTCTTTGGAACTCTTGTTCCTGAAGACGCTCTGAAAAGTGTTCTATGATCAGGTGAGTTTTGGCAGTGATTTCACTCCATATACCTTTTTGAGGTAGTGCACTGAAGTGTGTGAAGGTATTGAGATTGGAGTGTAGAGAATATGTGTTTGTGTTTATCCTGATGATATTTCATCATGGGATGTAACAATCACTTGTTAGTACCCTCTAGAAATATATTTCATGGAGCATTGCTGTTTTGATGAAAAAATGGAAACCCACCAGTTACTTGAATGATTTTATGATTTTTTTTTCATGATCATGTTTTAAAACTTCACTGTGGCTATTTTTTCTTCACTTAAGAAGAGTCCTAGTTTTGAGCAGCACAAATTGATCGTAAACTTCTATTTTTAAACAAAAATGGGCTTAGTTCTTTGTCTTTTAGGATCAGCCAGTTACCATATTCATTATTTATTACTCTTAAACATTTCTTGTAACTGTTGGGTTAAAATGTGGATTTTATACTCCAGTCCAGCCAGATCCGGAGAGCGTCGTTCTAGGCACCGATGGAGGGCGCTATGATGTTTATCTCTATGATCGAGTGAGGAAGGCCGTGTACTGGGAGGAGGAGCCCGCTGAAGTGAGACGCTGTACTTGGTTTTACAAAGGGGACACAGACAGCAGATTTATTCCCTATACAGAGGAGTTCAGTGAAAAATTAGAGGTATGTGGGCTTTATTCCTTTTTTTAAAAAAAAATATTTTATTTATTCATGAGAGACACAGAGAGAGAGGCAGAGACACAGGCGGAGAGAGTAGCAGGCTCCATGCAGGGAGCTCGATGTGAACTTGATCCCCAGACTCCAGGATCACGCCCTACGCGGAAGGCAAGTGCTTAGCTGATGAGCCACCCAGGTGACCTTGGGCTTTATTCCTTTATGCTTTTCTTTAAAAAACATAGGCTATAGCATATAGTCTAAGTATAAAGTCTAAGCAGTATCTAAAAGTATTCACTTTATCTCAGTTGTATTTGATTATAAATGGGTGACACTGGCTTTGAGGGTGGGAGAGCTACCTATTGATCATCTCAATAACACATGGCTGTTCTTAACCGAGGGAGATCATAGCTCCTCTGCAGCCTCTTTCATGATGCTGAGACCAGATCAGGGAAGATGCAGAGGAGGTTAAGAAGTGAAAAAGCCAATGAGAAGAGAAGCAGACATATTTCTCAATATTGTGTAGGTGATCCTGTCCTATGAGAGCCCTGAGACAAGAGAAGAGTTGGAAATAGAAAAACACCTATTTGATGATGACATGATTATCCATATAGAAAGTCAGGAGAACTTTTACAATTATCAATAGCACAAGTCTGGATATAAAATCAACACACACAGAGTTAATGGTATTCCTATGCAATAGAAATAACTAACTGGGGATCCCTGGGTGGCGCAGCGGTTTAGTGCCTGCCTTTGGCCCAGGGCGCGATCCTGGAGATCCGGGATCGAATCCCACGTCGGGCTTCCGGTGCATGGAGCCTGCTTCTCCCTCTGCCTGTGTCTCTGCCTCTCTCTCTCTCTGTGTGACTATCATAAATAAATAGAAATTAAAAAAAAAAAAACTAACTGGGGGAGCTACTGGTTGGCCTAGGTGGTAGAGTGCGTGACTCTTGATCTCAGGGTTGTGAGTTTGAGCCCCATGTTGGACATGGAGCCTACATTAAAAAAAGAAAGAAATAACTAGCACCCATAAAAAAAAAAAAAGATGCTATTTATAACACTAACAAAACCATAGGCTGAGTAGGAAAAGGTCTGACAAATACCTACATGAACTTGTGGAGGAAAACTATGAAACAGAATTAAAGGTTATAAAAGATGATCTCAAGAAATGGAACTAAATATGTTCACAGATGCACAGTTAAGATGTCCGTTCTTTCCAAGTTATTTTATAAATTTTATGTAATCCCAATCAAAATCACGTCAGAGTTTTTAAGGTAAAATCTGTAAACTCCTCCTGAATTTTATATGGAAGGGTCAAAGTATCAAGAATAACCAAGACTGGGATCCCTGGGTGGCTCAGCAGTTGAGCGTCTGCCTTAGGCTCAGGTTGTGATTCCCTGGTCCTGGGATCAAGTCCTGCATCGGGTTCCCTGAAGGGAGCCCGCTTCTCCCTCTGCCTATGTCTCTGCCTCTCTCTCTCTCTGTGTCTCATGAATGAATAGAATCTTAAAAAAAAAAAAAAAGAAAAAAGAATAAGCTGTTAGAAGAATGGCATGTGGAAACTTGCTCTACCAGACAACATTTATTTTAAAGCTATGGATTGAAAGGGAATATGAAAAAGTGCAAATAATTCTTAAGATGATAAAACTTCTTTTCCTTTAAACATTTTTATTTGTATTCTTGCTTTTAATAATTATAAATATGGTAAAAATTACAAAAAGCCAGGTGAGGAAGAGTGAAAGGGATAGAGGCTGTTAGAGAGGAATCATTAATCAGTGATTGGGAGACAAAAAGAAATTCATCTATTTTGACATGATTGTCAGATAACCGTTGTTAATAATTAAAACACACACACACACAAAATAACTTTGGACAGTGGATGTGCTAGTTTACTTCATCTTGTGTCTCTGTCCAAGAGGCCCTCAGACCTTTTTTTTTTACCTTGTTGAAAGTAGAATACTCTGTCTGGAGGAAGAGTAAGGAAATGGTTCAAAAGTCAGGTCTTTTTATTTTTTTTTTTAAAGGTTTTATTTATTTGAAAGGGAGAGAGAGCACAAGCAGGGGGAGCATCAGGGAGAGGGAGAAGCAGGCTCCCCACTGAGCAGGAAGCCCAATGTGGGGCTCAGTCCCAGGACCCTGGAATCATGGAAGGTGATGCTTCACTGACTGAGCCACCCAGGAGTTCCTCAACAGTCATGTCTTTGGAGTTGGAAAGTTGAGGGTGGGAGTGAACTGCAGTTCTGCCGTTGCTAGTTTACAGTGTGTAATGTCATGTAGCTGTGAACTTAAAATGTCTAATAGGGGTTGAGTTGTGTCCTCCTTTCCACCCTCCGAAAGTTGTGTTGAAGTCCTAACCTCTAGTGCCTCTGAATATGATCTTACCTGGAAATGGGATGCTTGCAGATATAGTTAGTTAAGATGAGATCATTCTGGAGAAGGGTGGGCCCCTAATCCAGTATGACTTGATGTCATACTGTGTAAAAATAGAGAATGGGAGTGATGTGACTATAAGCAAGGAACACTAAAGATTGCTGGTAAACCATCAGAAGCTTGGAGGAGGCAAGGAAGGAGTTCCCTATAGGTTTCTGAGGGACATAGCCCCACTTACACTTGACTTCAGACTTCTAGCCTCCAAAACTGTGAGATAATAACATTTCTGTTGTTAGAAGCCATTCAGTTTGGGACGCCTGGGTGGCTCAATGGTTGAGTGTCTGCCTTCTGCTTGGGATGTGATCCCGAGGTCCTGGGATTGAGTTCTGCACTGGGCTCCCCATGGTGAGTTTGCTTCTCCCTCTGCCTATGTCTCTCTGCCTCTCTCTCTCTCTCTCTCATGAATAAATAAATAAATCTTAAAAAAAAAAAGCCATTCAGTTTGTGGTACTTTGTGACAGCAGCCTTAGGAAATAATAGGCTTTGTAAACCTTTGTTTTCTTTTCTATATAATGGGGATAGTCTTATTTAGGAGTGTTGAGAGGAATTAAATGAGGTAATAACGTGTATAAAGTGACTGACAAGTGTGTTAATACATAACAGCTGCTGTTACATTATTTTTATTGTCATTGTGTTATACTTCCACACTTTTTCTCAATGTGGTATAGATTTGTCTTACTGGATTATTTGTTTCCATTATTTTAGGCTGAATATAAAAAAGCAGTGACCACGAATCAATGGCACCGTAGATTAGAATTCCCAAGTGGAGAAACAATCGTTATGCACAATCCAAAGGTAATGTTATTGTTTAAGATATTAAAATATTAGGTTCATTTTATTAATTATTTTGGTGAATGTGGTTGATAAAAACATGTTCATTTTAATTAACTTCTGTAGGGATATATTTATAACAATTGCATGGTTTTTAAAAGCTTACTATAATTCACATTGATCATAGAAACAAAAATTAAATTTAAATTTTTCTCATGAAGTTTCTGTTTATGGCAGCGTATTAACTGAAGCTTAGTATGCACCATTGAAGTTGCTTGACAAATGTTTGTACTTGATCAGAGGTCGGCAGGCTTTTTCTGTAAAGGGCCAGAGAGTAAATATTTAATTCTTCGTAGGCTGTGTGATCTCTGCTGCAGCTGTCAGCTCTGCCACTGTAGCCTGAGAGCAGCTGCAGATAATATATAAACTGGTGGGTGTGTCTATTGCACTAAAACTTTATTTATAAAGGTCGTGGCTCAGAGTTGGCTTGCAGGCCATAGTTTGTCCCCCCTACCCTTTTTTCCCCCCTTACCCTTGATAATGGTTTGTTTCCACTTTTAAAGATATGTCCTTCCTTTTCTTATTTGTATTGTCTCTACAAACTTTTTTTTTTTTTTAAGATACTGATTAGGGGTGTTCTTTCATTTCCCATACTTAATATCTTTGAGTTCCAGATTCCTCACTTGTAATAAGTACCTCCCAGGGTCTTATTTCAGATAAAATGAAGTAATTTATACAGAAACATCCAGCATAATGCTTGGCATACAGTAATTTTTCAGAACATAGGCTATTTATTTATTTTAGAGAAGTATACAAGAAAACAAAATTTTAATCTTATCACTTCTGTAGTCCTTATTGATACTGAAATAAGTAAAAAATCTTTATATGTCAACAAATTTAAACAGTATAAAGAAATAAAATATAAAACAAAAGCCTCTTCTGCATTTCCCATTTCTCCTGATGGTAACTACTTTTTACCTCTTGTTTTTCATTTTTTTTTTGATGCATAAATAAAAATTTTGCATACCATCTTGCATGCCTCTTTTTTTTTAAAGAAAAATTTCTGCGTGACATGGGACTAAATTAAGCTGATTTATAACAAAATACATGTTTTCTTAAAAAATGGTGGGTAAAACAGTTTTTGGCATTGAAATTGAATTTGTAAATTAATTGGGAATCTTGCTATTCAAAGGATTATGCCTTAAATATTTTTGTAAGACAAAGATTTCTCCATTCTAGGTAATTTTCCTTATTTCTTATGTGTAAACCTGGATTTTTATGTTATATTTTTAAAACCAAGGTATATTACTTCTGATTTAGTTGCTGTATTTTCTAGTATAAGCATTGGAAATACTGATACTGATTTGCTTAGTTTTAACGGTTAATGAACACTAGCAGGACTGTTAAAGAAATTGTTTTGGGAGAACAATATAACACTTGATTTGTCAACTATTTATATTATGAAGTAGTTTATTATGTATTGAAATAAATTATTTAGCCTGTAATGGAAATAGTCTTGGTCCTGAGCTCTGTCATAATCCTTCTGTCGTGTCTTGAAGGTTATTGTCCAGTTCCAGCCTTCATCGGTACCAGATGAATGGGGAACCACACAAGATGGACAGACAAGGCCCAGGGTTGTAAAGCGTGGGATTGATGATAACCTTGATGAGATTCCTGACGGTGTGTATCGCTTCCTAAGGGCCAAGGTCATTTTTAGACTCCTCTCTTTCAGCATCATTTTTTAGAATGATGAAAAAGAAGCAATTATTAGGACTACCTGCCATAGCATTCAGAAATCAGGCAGGTTGGCACATATCTTTCTTTTACTTCTATTACTTTTATATCTGTTTATTTTTAAATACAGAATTCTGTTGAAGATCTACAAACCATGTGACATGGATTCTAAAATATGTATTGTTGTGAACAAGCACTTTGCTGGTTGAAACTAGGCTCTTGGCAATATTTTTGGACCTTTGTGGTCATGTCTCATGTTTGTATTACTGTAGTGCAGAAGTTGGCAAACTTTTTCTGTTAAGGGCTAAATAGTAAATGTTTCAGGCTATATGGACTTTGCTGCATCTGTATTCAACTCTGCCATTGTAGTGTGGAAGTATCTGTACGTAGTATGTAAACAAATGAGCATAGCCATGTTCCATTAAAGCTTTATAAAAAACAGGCCCATTTGGCCAATGCCTACTCCAGTGTATGTGCTTTGATCTCTCCTGTTACACCATTTAAAATACAGATTTTATTTTATTTATTTATTTTTAAAGATTTTGTTTATTTATTCATAGAGACACAGGAAGAGAGAGAGAGAGAGAGAGAGAGGCAGAGACACAGACAGAGGGAGAAGCAGGCTCCATGCAGGAAGCCTGATGTGGGACTCGATCCCGGGTCTCCAGGATCACACCCCAGGTCTCGTCACGCCCAGGCACTAAACCACTGCGCCACCGGGGCTGCCCAAATACAAATTTTATTTTGACGATTATATACTTTCATTTTTGTTTCACTGCCTTATGCGACTACTAACATAAATAAATGTACTCAAATTATGAATGTGAACAAAATAACCAGAGTAAAATAGTAGATTTAACTTGTAGTTGTTTCTATATGCCAGAGTAGAATAATAGATTTAACTTGGTTTTCCTATATATAACTTGAAGATGCTCCAGTAGGTATAGAACTGCTGGTTATCATATGCTGGTAGCATCTGGGATCAGAGGTGGCATGATTCCTCCACTTCTTGGTCTAGTTCACTGTTATTTGCCAAGATGGACCTTGAGCTTTGTTCTTCTCCTTTATAGAGAGTGATGAAACTTACTAGCTTGGGAGGGGTCTTGAATTTCTTTGCCCTATCTTGATGACAAAAGGGGTATCTAGAATATTGCTATTTAAATACGAAAACCCAAACAATTTCCCAGTTTGTATGTATGCGTGTAGGCATGTATGTATTTCTTTTGTAGGGGAAATGCCTCGGGTTGATCATTTGGTGTTCATGGTACATGGGATTGGACCTGTGTGTGACTTGCGCTTTAGAAGCATTATTGAATGTGGTAAGTATTAGTCATTTTATTTCATGGAATGAATTGAGAAGTGATAACTTTTAAATGTTAATTTTTGAGATAGTTTCCAGCTCTTTACTACTGGCTGAGGAACTGTAAGAGGAGATTTAAGTGGTCACTAGGAAATAATGTATACTTGATTTGCTTCTATGATATAGGTAATTCATAAAATCCTACAATGAAGAATTAGAAGGAATCTTGGAAATTAGTCTTTCTGACAAATAGCCTCTGCCTAGGCACTTTTGGCAACTAGCTATACCTGTGCATTGAGGTGATTTAAAGTGAATTAGTTGAAGTTGTTTAATGGAACAATCTGCCTGGTTTACTTAAATTTTTGAAGTTTTATTTTTATATCTGTATAATAATAGTTCTATTGAATACTTGATTTGTACCAGGCATTTTGCATACGTTGTGTTACTCACCTCTCACAATAAACCTTGAGGGGGGTATAGGTGCTGGTGCTGTTCTCCCTACTAGTAGGTGAGGCACTGAAGTGCATAGGTGTAAGTTGACCTCTCCTGTATCATGGTCTGTGGGTTCTTGAGTGGGGGTCCTCTATTCCAGAGTGTGTATCTATAGTGCTGTGCTGCCTTCCAGGAATGGTAGTTAAATGTTTTTCAGTTGTTCTATACATTCCTCTGAAATATTGAAAAATTAAAAAGAGCTTCCTAAAGGTTGGGTATTTTCCTTTTTGGACTGATTTTGTCATTCCTATTTTTTTTTCTTAAAAAGTTTGTTATATAAAAAGTACTAGAATATTTGAGGGAATTACCAACTATATCAATCAAGCTAGGACATTTAATCAATTTAATTTGTCTTCCCTGATTTTCTTTTTTTTAAGTGGATGATTTTAGGGTGGTTTCTCTGAAATTGCTGCAGACACATTTCAAGAAATCTTTAGACGATCGGAAAGTAAGCAGAGTGGAATTCCTTCCTGTTCATTGGCATAGTTCCTTGGGTGGGGATGCCACAGGTGTTGACAGGTTTGTGGACTTTGATAACTCGTTGTTCAGATTAGTCAAACTTAGATTCAAAATTTAAACCGTAATATGAAATAGTTTATTGTAACTTCAACATATGTTTTCAATAAATTTAATCCTTTCTTTAAATGACATAGTTGCTCTGATGACATATGATTTAAACACTGGCTATTTTTCCATGTGCGCATGCATTTGTTTGTGCATGTGTGCACATGCATATGTGTCTGCATTCCTATTATAAACATTTAAGAGAATCTGATAAATGTAAGCCAGTTTTAGAATACTATTCTAATCTATAGTAGGTTATACAGGAGGCTATCCTGTACATTGTAGGATGTTTAGGAGCATCCTTTCTTCTACCCACTGGGCAATAGCAGTGCCCCCTCCTCCGCCCCCAACCTCCAACAGCCAAAAATATCTCCAGTCCTTGTAAAAGGCCAGCAACATCTGTAGGCACTGTGACAACTGAAAGTAGCCCAGTCAATTTTTTTTTTTTTTTTTTTTTTTTTTTTTTTTTAGAAACAGATTTAGATAATATTTATGCTAGGACACAGGGCTAATAACATACCTGGATTTTAGTGAAGATCATGGTTCTGGGCACATGTTTTAATGAAACTAATTCTGCAAATAGCATTCTCTGTTATTCCATATATTATTCTATGGTTAGTCCTGTTTATGAGAGTGTAATCTTGAGAGTGGTTGTTCGTGAACTTCACTATATCCATTCTCAAATCAAGAAAGATTTTCAGTGCATGAAACTCCTTTCTCATTCCTTGCTATATTCCCTGTTGTCCTTTCCACCACAGTTTTTGTCAGGTATCCTGATTTCCAATTAATTGGAAGAAAAATGGAAGAGTAGCCTTTCATCTTTAAAAAGAAAATTAAAATTTTTACATGGGCCTTATTTTATGTGATAACTCTTTGGAGAATCCCCAAAGTCACAGTATAGTTCTAGGCACACATGACTTATTTTTTGTTTTATCTTGATTGATTTATAATAACTGTCTACAGAATCAACTCATAATTAGTCTGTGGAATTCTTATACTCGTATATTTAGAAATCACTGTCTCAATTTTAAAGAATCTGTAGATTGGAAGGTGTCTGGTGACTGAATTTGCTTTTTCTTTCTAAAACAGGAATATTAAGAAAATCACTTTACCAAGTATTGGTCGGTTTCGTCACTTTACCAATGAAACCTTGCTAGATATTTTATTTTACAATAGCCCCACCTACTGTCAGACGATTGTGGAGAAAGTGAGAATGGAGATAAACCGCCTGCATGCACTATTTATGAGTCGGAATCCAGACTTCAAAGGAGGAGTCTCTGTTGCTGGTCACAGTTTAGGTAAAACTGTCAAATATCCACATTTTAAACATAATTTTTGTTGAGTTATCACTGCTTTAAGGTGACGTTGCTAGTATGAGATTTAGGATTAAAGATTTTAAGTTTTATAAAGGGTGGATGTGAATGCTTTGAGTTTAGGTTCTACCTTTGCTTTTCAATTACCTAGGAATGCTTTTATTTTAGTTTATTCTGCTGTTTGGTAAAACAAGAGTATTGATGATCAGATCTTGATTGACATTGAACTTTTGTATGACTTTTGCCTAGGGACTTTGAAAAAAAAAGGGAGAATTTACCTAGTGTTATAAAAGTATTAGTACATTATAAAGCAAACTGCAATTTTTTTTTTAGGTTCTTTAATATTGTTTGACATCCTGTCTAATCAAAAAGATTTGAATTTGTCAAAGTCTCCTGGACCTTTTGCTGTTGCTAATGGAGTTGTGAAGCAGCCACATTTTCAGGAAAAACAGGTATGGCCCAGTTAACATATTTAGATTAGAGATGAAGCCAAACAATTTCCTAAAGTCTGAACTGTTTCCTGAAAAAACAATTTTTTTTTTCTTAAGTTTAAGTAATCTCTATGCCCAGCATGGGGCTCAAACTTGCAGCCTCAAGATCAAGAATCCTATGCATTTCTGACTATGTGGGCCAGGTGCCCCTGAAATGTCTTTATAAATCAAAGTACCCTGAGGTTTATAAGTATGATAGAATCATATAGCTTGAGTTTCTCACTTGTCTTTCTTATGGATCATAAATTTAAATGTGAAAAAAAGTTTTTGATTAAAAACAAGTCAAGTAAATTATTGTAGGGAATGGGAACAAGAGTGATTTATTCACAACTTTTTCAGAATATTCAAACTTTGGATGATAAACTACCCAAAATTATGACTTCTATATGGAGCAAAATTGTTTAAGATTTGCTGTAGATCAGGGGACAGTTTATGGGAGTTTTTCTGAGGTTTGCAGTGTTCCCGACTTTTTTTTTTCCTTAAGATACCTGAAGAGCCAAAGTTGACTTCGGATGAGTCCTGTGACCTTGACATTGAAAATGAAGAAGTCCTAAGTTTGCAAGAAACTCTGGAAGCACTTAGCCTGTCTGAATATGTTAGCATATTTGAAAAGGAAAAGATTGACATGGAATCTCTGGTACTGAGAATATTTTGATTCATTTTTGTTTAAGATTGTTTTTCTTGTGTATTAGATCAAAAATTAAGAATGATTTGAACACTTACGTCATGATACATTTCTGATAAGGCAGAGACTTAAATATTTAAAAACTGAAAAACACAGGAGTTTGTTTGTGTTTTCGTATAATCTGGGAGGGCTTCTAAGTATGACACAAAACCCAGAAGCCATAAAAGAAAAATTGGATAGCAGGAGATTTCCTAAACAACATCTAAAGGCCAGTGATGATTAAGAAGACTATTTGGAACACACATTAGAGACAAAAGATTTATTTCTGTATTATTTAAAACTCCTCTGAATTAATTCCACAAAGGCCATCAACACAGTAGAATAGGTGAAGAATATGAACAGATGATGTACAGAAAGGGAAATAACAAAAATGGCTTTTTGTCCTATGAAAACTCTTGAGAGAAAGATTAAAGGTACAATGAGTTTTTTTTAACCTTTCGGTTTGGCAAAAATAAAAACTTCTTAGTATATAATGTGGGCCAGGGTGAGGGTAAGTGGGCACCATCTACATACTGGTTTTTTTTTTTTTTTTAAGACTTTATTTATTCATGAGAGACACACAGAGAGAGGCAGACACGTAGGCAGAGTGAGCTGCAGGCTCCCTCTGAAGAGCCCGATGTGTGACTCGATCCCGGGACTCCGGGATCAGGCTCTGAGTTGGCAGATTCTCAACCACTGAGCCACACAGGCTTCCTTACATATTGTTTGTAAGACTAAATTGCTACAACCCGCATGGAAAGCAGTTTGGTAAATATTTTTACCAAAATTTTATTTATTTGACATAGATTGAGAGAGTTCACAAGCGGTGGGTGGGACCAGAGGGAGAGGGAGAAGCAGACTCCCACTGAGCAGGGAACCCACCATGGAACTCGATCTCAGGACCCCAGGATCATGACCTGAGCTGAAGGCAGACACTTAACCAACTGAGCCACCCTGGTGTCCCTATTTTTTCCTTTTTAATGAAGGATTATAACTTTTTTTTTGAGGAAGATTTTAGTGTATTTAAAATGGTGGCAGGGTTGGAAATTTTATTTAAAAATATTTTTATTTAAGTTCAATTTAATTAACATGCAGTATATTAGTTTCAGAGGTAGAATTCAGTGATTCATCAGTTATGTATAATACCCAGTGCTCATTATATCATGTTCCCTCCTCAATGCCCATCACTAAGTTACCTCATCCCTCCTACCTACCTCCCCTCCAGCAGTCCTATTTATTCCCTATGTTAAGATGGTAATACATCTTTAAAATACAAAAACAAAACAAAACAAAACAAAACCCCCCAAAACAAAAAACCAATCTCTTGCCCCAGCAATTTGACTACCAGGAATAATTTCAATAGAGGTATTTACACAAGAGCATCTACAAAGATACTTGCTATAGCACAGTGTTTATGATAGCAAAACCTTAGAAACACCTTCTGTGTCCAGTAGGAGGACACTAGTATAATAGTTTATGGTACATGCACATAACAGAATGCAGCTGTTGAGTGAATAAGGCAGTGTCAGAGATAATGGTAGGAAGTGATTTCTAAGATATGTTATGTGAAAAGTGCACAGTTCAGTCCCATTTGCATAGCAGGGTATATACATCCAAGGAAAACCATGTAGGTGCTGTGTATACAGAAGTTGTCTCTAGGAGAGCAGATTGTAGTGGCTGCTGAGAGAACTGGGTGGTTGGAACAGGAGTGGTGGTAAGAGACTTCATCGTCTGCTTGACTGTAGCTTTTGAATTTTGTACAGCACGTGTGTATTTTCTGCTAAAAACGACTAGAATGGTTTAGATGTAGAAGGCTCAGATTTTACAACCTAAATCTATGATCTATAAACAAATTAACTTTAAAAAATTGACTGGATCTTAGATTGATTTCAATGGGATGGTTCCTTTTTATCATTTCCTTTTTTTTTTTAAAGGTTTATTTATTCATTCATTCATTCATTCATTCATGATAGACATTGAGAGAGAGAGAGGCAGAGACACAGGAGGAGGGAGAAGCAGGCTCCATGCCGGGAGCCCGACGTGGGACTCGATCCTGGGACTCCAGGATCGCGCCCTGGGCCAAAGGCAGGCACTAAACCGCTGAGCCACCCAGGGATCCCCTCTTTTTTTATCATTTCCTGATTCCAGTTTCATCTATCATTAGATTAACTAATGTGCTTGTTTGTCTGTTTTCTTTTAAAGCTTATGTGTACAGTTGATGACCTGAAGGAAATGGGCATACCTCTTGGACCCAGAAAGAAGATAGCTAACTTTGTAAAACAGAAAGCAGTTAAACTGGTAAGTTCATTTCTGCCCTTAAAACTGAAACCAAAACTCATAATTTGACTAGCTTGTTTATATTTTGGAAGTTTTCGTTAATACCAGTATGGTTGGGCCAACTGGTGTGCTCCCTGCTCAAGGGCATAGTGGTAGAACTGATGAAAGTGTAGACTTTAGAGTCAGCCAGAACCAGATATCAATCCCAGTTAGGGTAACTGACCATCCTGGTTTTCCTGAGACTGAGAGAATGATGAAGGACTTTCAGTTTTATTTATTTTTATTTATTTATTTATTTATTATTTTTTAAAATTTTTATTTATTTATGATAGTCACACACACACAGAGAGAGAGAGAGAGAGAGAGAGAGAGGCAGAGACATAGGCAGAGGGAGAAGCAGGCTCCATGCACCAGGAGCCCGACGTGGGATTCGATCCCGGGTCTCCAGGATCGTGCCCTGGGCCAAAGGCAGGCGCTAAATCGCTGCGCCACCCAGGGATCCCAGGACTTTCAGTTTTAATATTGGTATTTGGGGATTTCCTGGTGCAATAACTGGGTAAGCCTTGGATAGTTGGATGAATTGGTCGTCCTGCTACCCAGTTCAACCATTTTTAACTCCTTATTCATGATTAATTTGCATAACTTTTCAGATTCTTGGTTTCCCTAATTTCTAAAATGCAAATGATGCTACCTTCCTTAAAGGGTTGAATTAATGCATAGAAGTTAAGCTAATAAATGTTAGCTCATTTTCTCCCTTCTCAGTTCTCATCATCTGAAGAGGTAAGAATAGACCCACTAAAATCTCATTAAATAATAACCAAAAAGCAAAAATTCTTTTTTTTTTTAATATTTTATTTATTTGTCTGAAAGAGAACGAGTGAAAGAGCACAAGCAGGGATGAGGGGCAGTGGGACAGGGAGAAGGAGACTCCCTGGTGAGCAGGGAGCCCAACTCAGGGCTTGATCCCAGGACCCTGGGATCATGACCCGAGCTGAAGGCAGGTACTTAACTGAGCCACCCAGGCCCACCAAAAAGTAAAACTTATTACAAAACAAAACAGCTAAAAAGAGTGTAAAAAGAAATAGAGCAACTACAGAAAAACTCACTTGTTACATTTAATTTTTATTTATTTATTTATAACTTTTATTTATTTGAGAGAGAGAGCATGACATGAAAGGATGAGCAGGAAGAGGGGAGATGCTGAGAGAGAGGGAGAATCAGACTCCCCACTGAGCAGGGAATCTGACATGGGGCCTGATCCCAGGACCCTGAGATTGTGATCTGAGCTGAAGGCCGACATTTAACTGATTGAGCCACCCAGGAGCCCCTAATTTTCATTTATTAAATTAATTTTATAGAAATTTCCAAAATCCGTTGTTTTTGAACAGTTGTTGGGTGATAGATACTTCATTATGGGTTGGATTTGCATTTCCCTGATGATTAAGGATATAGAACATATTTTCATGTACCTGCCATGTGTATGTATGTCTTCTTTGGGGAACTTTTCAAATCCTCTGCCCATTTTTTAATTGAATTGACTTAATTTAAAAAATTTTTTGTGAATTGGGCCGTAGCTGCATGAACCTCTTGCTTCATTTTCTGAGGGAACATTGTTTGAGAACCACTGCTGTAGGACAGAACACTCATTGTAATTATTCAGTGACTCAGTGAGAGAGGATGGGGGTATAATAGGAAGTGGAAAAGAAGGCTGGCAGACAGTTTTATTTCTTCTATATTGCCTACTGAATTAGCCACTTGGACTTGTTTCCCAATATCCTAGTGTTTGGGAATCATTAATAGACAAGCTTGATTTGGCCAGCTGTTTTGTTCAGGTGCCATGGGGTGACTGTTTCAATAGAGACATACGGAGCCTTGCGCAGCTTGGGGAGTACAAGCCACTAAAATGTTGGCTTGTGGCAAATGGGCAAGTTCCCCCGTGGTAGCTGTTCACATTCCCCTGACATGGTGGCTGCCGTGTCAGGCTGTGGTCAGTGAGTGGATTTGATCTCACTGTTACAGAGATACCCTGGTTCCACAGATGCTCCTAAAGCTTTGGTTCACTTCCTTATTTATGGAAATATATGGATCTTAAGTGTTCAGCATAGTAAGTTTTGAAACTTTGTGTACCAGTGTAATCTTTTTGAAACTTTTTGCACCTAAAACAAGAGTTAGAACATTTCTGTCACCAGATAGTTCTCTCCTGCTTCTTCCTAGGCCGCTCCTCCCACTCTCTTGACGCTACTCTGGTTTCCATCACTGTTGAGTTTGCTTGTTCTGCAAGTTCATGTAAATAGGATCAGTGTTACGTATTCTTTGGTGTCTGGCTTCTTTTACTCAAAATGCTATTTTTGAGATTCATCCAAGTACTGTGTCGTTTGCAGTTCATTCTTTTCTATTTCTGAGTAGTTATTCTGTTGTGGTACCACAGTGTGCTTGTCTGTTCTTCTGAAATGTTTTTGAGGAAAACTTGTCAGTGGCTCCATGCAGACATAATGGGTGTAAATATATTGAATGAAGAAATTTCTCCCCAAATCTACACCTTTATAGGAAGTACGTATTTTACAATTATATGATACTTTAATCTTTCTAAAGCTGAGATCATAAAGGAAGAAGTTGGCATTTTGTATTAAAACTTTATATAGAAAAGTAGAATGAATAATGATAGGCAGCATTTGGATTTAATTGTAGCTGTTTTGCTGTTTTTTCTTAGTCTCTTCATTTTTTCCTCAAGAATTTTACTTTATTTTTTAAAGATTTTATTTATTCATGAGAAACAGTGAGAGGCAGAGACACAGGCACAGGGAGCCTGATGTGGGACTCGATCCCAGGACCAGGAGATCACACCCTGAGCCAAAGGTAGACGCTCAACCACTGAGCCACCCACGCTTCCCTTTCTTAAGAATTTTAAAGTAAATTATATAAATCATGGCATTTTTTCCCCCTAAATATTATGTACGTCTCTAAGGACATTTCTGTGAACACCACACTGTCTAAGAAATTACTGATCATTCCTTAGCATTGAGATAGCATGTTCTGTAGTGATAGCTGATTAATTTTGCCTCAGAGTCATGTTATGAATTATGAAATGTTGATGTTTTCACAGGAACAGAAAAAAGCAGCATCAGAAAAGAAGGCAGTGATGGCGGCTTCGACAAAGGGACAAGAGGAGAGTGGCCAGAAGGCTAAAGAAATGGCTTCTCTTTCCTCAGAATCTAACGAGTCCAAAAGGAAACTTCCAGTTGGTGCTTATGTGTCTTCTGTGCATGTTGATTATGAATCTTTTGAAGTTGGCACTGGACAGGTAAGTTTGCATGTTGATTAGGGCTGCATATTTTATGTTGGAATCATGTATCTTTTTCATTGGAGTTGGCTTTAAATTCTTAAAATAATCAACATTTATGGAGGGTGAAGAAAACTGATTTTCTATCCGTAAGATGGTATGCTTCTTTCAATAAAATATTTTATTTATTTTGAAATTTATCTTTATTTTTTCCACTGCTCATTATTTTATAACATTAGTCTCTCATAGCCACTAGCAACAGAGTGGTGATAGAAAATCATGTTGTGAACACACTTGTCCTGTTACCTGTGGTTCAGATTCCTATGGTTTCAGTTACCCATGGTCACCTGTGGTCTGAAAGCCCATGATGTGGTCCTCCTTCTGACGTATGGTCAGAAGGTCACTAGTAGCCTAACATTGGATCACAAAGCTTGCATCATTCACCTCACTTCATCTCATCAAGTAGGCTTTTTATCATCTTACATCATCACAGGAAGGCTGAGTACAGGACAAGAAGACGTTTTGAGAGAGACAGACTATATTCACATAACTTTTATGGTAATATATTGTGATAATTGTTCTATTGTATTATTAGTTATTGTTAGTCTCTTACCCTGCCTAATTTATAAGTTAAGCTTTATTGTAGGTAGGTACATATGAGCAAAGACATAGAATATAGAGTACAGTTTTTCTGAGATTTCAGGCATCCAGTGGGGGTCTTGAAATATATCCCCTTGGGTAAGGGGGGACTACTAAATACTTAAATTTCTGTGAGATAAACTTGATGTATTCAGTTACATTTTTTTTGGATTCACATTTCTTCTCTTGCAGAAGTTTTTTTTTTTTCTTTTTCAGAAAATTTTCTATAAAAATCAACCTAGGGAGTCAGCAGTGCTATATTTAATAATATACTTTAATGTACTTCTATCTTAATGGCTTAGAAGTTTTATTTATAGTTGTGTCTGTAAGGTTCCATTATCATAAGTGAATTCATGACTGATTTAAAGAAGGCAGAAAATGGAACAGGATGTTTGCAGTAGCCTGTTCAAGCTTTTAAACGTAATTCATTGATAAAGATTGCATTTTTAAAACGTCTTTCTTTTTAAAGATTTTATTTATTTTATTAGAAAGAGCATGAGTGGGGTGAGGAGCAGAAAGAGAAGCAGACTTCCTGCTGAGCAGGGAGCCTGGTGTGGGGTTTGATCCCAGGACTCTGGGATCATGACCTGAGCCGAAGGCAGGCTCTTAACTGCCTGTCACCCAGGTGCCCCATAAAATGTCTTTCTTTTTAGATATGAGCAAACTTGAGCATACTTTAGCAGATAAAGAGCAGATATTTCCTCACTTAACTGTGAAGGATCAGAGTATAGAAGGAGATTTGTGGAACTGGGGGCTCTATGTGGCCAGGACGCTCACTGCGTGCCCCTCTCTGGGCTGGCCTTCTCCATGAACCTGGAGCCATGGGTATCATTGTTTCTTGGCTCATCTCTTTAAAGCTTTATGACCACAGAGGAAAAGAAGCCTCCCCTGGGGGTCCAGTTAGAAAAATTTACTTGATGTGGTTTTAGTTATGGGCCCATTTTGGCCAATTTGTACTGTTTGGGGAATGGAGCACAGGTATTGACCCAACCCAAGTCACATACCACCCCCATTGTGGGTGGGCCACTGTGGGCAAGTAGGATCTGTTACCTAGAACGTTGTGGGGCAGTGTAAACAACAGCCCATGTGCATCATTCATTGCCAGAAAGCCAAGAAACTCTGCTCAAGCAGGAAAAAAGAAAAAATATTATACTTTCCTTAGCCAGAACTAACTACTATGAACTGTTTGAACAAGGCCTTTTAGACTTTTTTTAAGCATGTATTTATGTATATGTTTTAACAAAAAATAGGAAAATACTCCATATAATGTTTTACCAAAACATTATACTGATGCTTTCAAACACTGAGTTATGAATATATTCTTATGTCAGTACATAGTTCTCTCATTTGTAATGACTATTTTGTCTTACTGTTTGGAGAGATAATGATTTATTTTGTCATTTACTTATTGGATGTATTAGTTTGCTTGGGCTGCTGTTAACGGAGTATCACACACTGGGTGGCTTTAAACAACAGAAATTTATTGTCTCAGTTCTAGACGCAGGAAGTCCAGAGCAAGGTGTCAGTAGGGCCATGCTCCCTTTGAAGAAGGGAGAACCCTTCTGGGCCTCTACTGGCTTTTGGCAGGTTGCCAGGGGCTCCTTGGCTCCTAGATGCAACTCTCCAGACCCACGTCTTCCCATGGCTGCTCCCTGTGTCTGCACCATCTCCCCTGTTAGTCTGTGTGGCCAGGTTTCCCTTTTTTATAACAACACCAATCATGTTGGATTAGGGTCCACCTAAATACCTTATTTTAATTTGATTTGGTACATGTGTGTCTATTTTGTGGGGGACACAGTTCAACCCATAACAGAGGATGTGTAGGGAGTTTCTAGTTTTTCACTTTTTTAAAGCATTCCAGTGATGAACACTTTTAAACCAGTTTTCTGTGCTCATTCTTTATTTCCTTCATTTAAATAAGTAGAAGTGGGATAGGAGGTCCCAAGAATGTACACCTGAAAATTCTGGTAGTTACTTGTACTTGCCCCTGGAAAGGTTGTGCCAGTTTGGACACTTTATAGGATGGACCCTTCTCCTCTGTCCTCACCAACACTGGTGCTGCATTGTCCTTTACAGATAGGTGGTGTTCTCACTTTTATCGCTTCCTTCTGAAGAAATGACTTTTTCATGAAAACAGAAGATTTTTACTTTTTTTTTTTTTAGTATTTCATTTCTCTCTCTCTGATAACCATGTAGGAAAAAAGGTGTCTCATTGTCTTTCTGAGCATTAGAGAGCTTAGATGTTTTCTCCTATGTCTTCCAGGCATTTTTCCCCCCTCAGGATCTCTGTCCTGAGATCAAGCCTCACATTGGGCTTCCTGCTCAGTGGGGAGCCTGCTTCTCCTTCTCCCTCTACCTGCCACCCTGCCTATTTGTGCTTGCTTGCTCTCTCTCTGTAAATAAATCAATCAAACCTTAAAAAAAAAAAATAGTGACAGCGATTATAAGCATTATAAGCCATACTTGAGTGGCATCATCTGTGTTGAGATGCTTTCAACTAAGCAGATCCAGCTTGAACTTTTGAATTTTTTATTATATGACATTGGAATGATGATATTTTATTGTTTTTTTATTTTTCTAGGTTTCTGTTGTTTACAACTCATTAGACTTTGAACCAGAGATTTTCTTTGCCTTGGGATCTCCAATTGGTATGTTCCTCACTATTCGAGGAGTGGATAGGATAGATGAGAACTACAGGCTTCCTACGTGTAAAGGATTCTTCAATATTTATCATCCAGTGAGTGACTTGAACTACTTCCTATTTTGAAGAAGATAAAACATCTACATAGAAACACCAATATAGATAAATCATTCTAATAGATTTTCAGATTCTTTTTTCTTAGGAACTAATTCTGATTTTGATGTACACCCAGCTCTCTGTCCTAAGAGAGAATAGTCTGATACCAACCAATAAACTTTTCTGCCAGAAAGCCTTTGTTCAAGGAAATAATTCTGTTGCTTTGCTTGCAAAATAGTTTTCCTCACAAACTTAGAAGTCGTCTTATAATTACCAGTAGGTGAATGACTTGTGGGGAAAAGAAAAATCAATATCTCTGGTTTGCTAGTTATCCATTTTGTCATACAATCAAGATACATAACTGAAGATAAGAGAGCTTTTCCAAAATTTCCAATTCTTCTCTTTACAGCTTGATCCAGTGGCGTATAGATTAGAGCCTATGATTGTTCCAGATTTGGACCTGAAAGCAGTTCTCATTCCACATCACAAAGGCAGAAAAAGACTTCATTTAGGTAAAAAGCAAATACTATAAAGCTTGTTTCCTTCCTGTCATTTTGTAATCTGTTAGTCCTAATGAAGTATGTTTTTCCTGTCACTTGTAATTGAACTGTGAAAATCTTAACACCAGGTCCTTTCTGACAAAATTAATTTTATTTAAGAGCCTGCTGTGTTTAGAGCCTGTTTATTAAATGTTCAGAAGAACTATAAAGTTTTGAGTGAGTTGCTTCTCCTTGAATATTTTGTTCTAGATGCAACGTTCTGATGGTTGAAATACTTAGGAATGGGGGATGTTGGTAATAAAGTGATGAGATATACCTATAGATTTTGATAGAATTTGGCCATAATTTTTGGAGTTGGGAAGCAGAATAACACTTGAACTAAGGACCAACAAGACATAAACTTGATGCTAAGTCAACTGAGCTGTTACTTCCTTGCTAAATAGATAAACTTTTCCAATTAAAAACATTCATTAAACGTAATGGATCAGTAAGAATTCCAAATGGGGTTTAGGTTTCTCTTATGCCTGTTAATGGTGTGTATCATCCAGGGGCTTAAAGGTTTGGGTGGAAGGGATGGGAGTGCAGTGGAGAAGAGGGGGTATGTGATCATGCCCTTTTATTTAAAATTGGATTTTCTTTCTTTTTTTTTCTTACATCATTTTAAAAAAAAATATTTAACTATTTTGGGATTAAAATGGGAAATTTGATACATACCTTAAAATCAAAAGGATTTATTAGACAAAAGTAGGAAAAGTGAAGGGGCAGAGGTTTCTTCATTTTTAAATCAGGTTTATATTGTGGTTATATTAGAATCTCAAATTCTCAAAACCATTTTACCATTACAGATAAGAAAAGCAGTCATCTTTTTTATCTTGTGGGCCCATTTTTTTTTAACTTACAGAAAACACATGAACGTGTCTACATTTTTATAGTATTTGAACTCTTCCTTACCTCTTCTTTTTTTTTTTTTCCTTTTGTCGAGAGAGGGAATTTATACAGTTTGCCTGGATTAGCTTTGGTTATTAAAAAAGATGACAGAATAAGCCTCTATAAAACATTTTAGTATGTTGAGAGTTCTTGGGTGAGAAACTCTGTTTGGCGTTTAAGAGAGGATTCATCCAGTCTGAGAAGAGTGTTAACTTTTAATTTTTGTGGCACAGAATTTCACCTTGTGACTAATTAACTTGATGTGTCATCTTCATCTCTTTAGAGTTGAAAGACAGTCTCTCTCGTATGGGATCTGATTTGAAGCAGGGTTTTATTAGCTCCCTGAAAAGCGCTTGGCAGACATTAAACGAATTTGCCCGCGCTCACACCTCTTCAACTCAGCTGCAAGAAGAACTGGAAAAAGTGGCCAATCAAATTAAAGAAGAAGAAGAAAAACAAGTAGTTGAAGGTAAATTTGGCATTTGAGGCATTTTCTAGTACAAATGTTATTTGTAAACATAATGAATTATTTGTATACATTATGAATTATTTAATGATGCTTTTCCATTCTGGTCTTTTTTGTTAAAATATGGAGTTTTGTTTTTTTTTTTTTTTTTTTTTTTTTTTTTTTTATAAAGGAAAATCTGTTGTGATAAACTGTACTTCAACATGGATGCCATTCTTTTTCCAGGGTTTTGCCTGATAGTTAGTTGCTGGACTTTTTACTCTGCAATCTTGTTTTTTGTTGAGATTCCTAAGGCCAGAGTGGAATATCAGAGTTGAGAGCAAAGCTTGTATTCAGGCATTTTAAAGACCCACTGTGAGAAAATATCTTCTGATGTTGTCTACCTTTGTTGTTTTTTTATAGACTTTATCTGAATTGTCAGGTCATTGTGCCATGATGTTTTTGACTCTTTTCAGATTCTAATTCTGTTTCCTTTCTTTCTACAATGCTCTCTCACCCCTTTTCTTCAAAACTGTCAGCTCGTTGGCTCTTTCTCCTCTCTCGGGTAACCAGCCCCTCTTCCTTCTCCTGGCTCTTTGGAGGAATGGGAAGTGAGCCTGGTATCTCCCCAGGTTGCTACGTGTGTCAAGCGATATTCTCTTGAGCCCAGAAAGTCAGCTAAAGTCAAAGGATAATGATTAAGTGATTGACTTTGATATTGAAATGGTTTAAATTTTAGCAGAAAAGATTGTTGAAAGTCCAGATTTTTCCAAGGATGAGGACTACTTAGGAAAGGTTGGAATGCTAAACGGAGGCCGCCGAATTGACTACGTTCTTCAAGAAAAGCCAATAGAGAGTTTTAATGAATATCTTTTCGCTCTTCAGAGTCATTTGTGCTATTGGTAAGTAGTTTCTTCTTTGATAACATTCACGTGGCCTGTAGGTGCTGGCATATACAGCAGTTTTAGGGGAGACTCTTTTGCCGATTTATCACTTACGATGAAATATTAATTTCAATGGCCATATATTCAAAATCCGTATTTTCCCCCATTATTTTATTATCCACAAGATGGCAGTGTGTCATCTGCCTTTTACCGAAGGACTTTAGTACGTGCACACTGATTTTTGTAGGGGTACCTTTCACAGAATGGAAGTGGTAGGGACTTTGAAAAGCCATCCTTTCATATATCCCCTGTCACCATGGAGAATTGCAACACAGCTGTTTTGTAGCTGGTCAGTATCCATCCAGTTTTTAAGGACAGCTTTAAGACTATAGTACCTTATTTTCATTTGCCTTTCTTAGGTAGGGTTGAATAAAACAAAAGCTGCGTTTTCCACAGGTATGCACCAGTATGCATAGAGGTTAATTTCTACTAATGGTCTCCAAAGTAAACATGTTCTTTTCTTTGTGATAGGGAATCTGAAGATACTGCCCTGTTGTTACTTAAAGAAATTTATCGAACAATGAACATTAGTCCAGAACAGCCCCAGCATTGATTGGACTTCAGCCTCACTGTGTGAGTTTATCTTTATTGTGTGCATACAATCTGAATGTTTCATTCTAAAATCTTTTTTTTTGTTGTTAGGTTTTTTTTTTTTTTTTTTTTTTTTTTTTTAAGTAATCTCTGCATCCAACATGGGACTAGAACTCATGACCCTGAGATCAAGAGTCACAGGCTCCACTCACTGAACCAGTCAGGGGCCCCTCTGAAGTCTTTTTTATAGTGTTGAAGTTGACTATAATTTTCTCTTTTTTCTGTTTCTTCCTAATTGGTTTGCGATCTACATTTTTGATATGTTAACAGTTTTCTTTCTAATTCCGTCTGCTTTTATTTGAGTTCTTTTATTTTTGGTTTCTTTCTACAAGATATTCCTAGGAATATCAGCTAGGAATTCCTTTGGTTGTAGAAACAGAACCTGACTCACAGTACCTTAAATGAATAGAGGTTTATTTTTCTTGTGTAATGGGAAGAGTTCATGTGTTATGCCCACATCGTTGGCATCTTTCTACCTATATGTGGCTCTTATGCCATAATTACAAGACAGCTGCTGCGGTTCCAGGCACTGTGTGTACGTTCAAGACAAGAATCAGGAGGAAAGGACATTGGCAGTTTTATCTGTTCCTTTTAATTAGGAAAGCAAAAATGTGTCCCAAAATTCACTCATGCCTATTGACTAAGCTTGTGCCACATATTCCATGTCTCCTCCAAACCTTATATTGCTCCAGGGAGGATTGTAAAAGCAATGTTTTATGCACCCCAGTCTTTATAGAGGGAAGGAATAGAGAGGGGGCAAACCTATGATGAATGAGCCAACCTGCGAGCCAGACACACTGCATTCCTGACTGTCTTCCTGAGACCCCTGACCCCTCTTCTTCCTTGCTAGATTATTATTAAAAATTTTTTATTTAAATTTTAGTTAACATACAATGCAATATTGGCTTTAGGAATAGAATTCAGTAATTTATTGCTAACATACAGTACCCAGTGCTCATCGTAACAAGTGCCCTCTTTAATACCCATCAGCCATCTAACCCATCCCCATCTGCCTGAGTCCATCGATCCTCAGTTTGCAAATGGTGAGATTTCATTCTTTTGGGTGACTGAGTAATATTCCATTGTATACATATACCTCATCATCGTTAACCCTTCATCAGTCCATCACATTTGGTTGGGCTCTCTCCATAATTTGGTTATTGTGGATGGTGCTGCTATAACCATCACTGTACATATACCCCTTCAAATCTGTATTTTTATATCCTTTGGGTAAATACCTAGTAGAACAATTGCTGGATGGTAGAGTAGTTCTATTTGTAGTTTTTTGAGGAACCTCGGTGCTATTCTCCAGAGTGGCCATACCAGTTTGCATTCCTACCAGCAGTGCAAGAGAATTCCCCTTTCTCTGCATCCTCACCAACAGCTGTTGTTTCTTATATTGTTAATTTTAGCCATTCTGACAGGTATATGGTGGTAGCTCATCAAACTCACTAGATTATGCATCACTTAAAAGAATAGGTAGTGTGTTTTTTAAACAGAAATTTTAGGGCAGCCTGGGTGGCTCAGCGGTTTAGTGCCGCCTTCAGCCCAGGGCGTGATCCTGGAGACCTGGGATTGAGTCCCACATTGGGCTCCCTGCATGGCTCCCTCCTTCTGCCTGTGTCTCTGCCTCTCTCTCTCTCTCTGTCTCTCATGAATAAATAAATGGAATCTTAAGAAAAAAAAGAAATTTTAAAGCCTTTAAAGCATTAAATACAAGTGGTTGAGCTCTAAACTGTGAACTCAAAAGTAGTTCCTGGCACTTTTGAATTTTCTAATAATAAATGTTAAGTTCAGCCTCCACCTTCTTATTTTGGTGAGATAACCACTTTCAGTAGGGTTTCCTTAGATTTCCCCGTGCATGTCTAATCAAATGTGTGTGCAGGTAAAAACAAAGATCTCATTTGACAGTATTGTTTTGCAACTTGATATTTTCTTTTTTTTTTTTAAATATTTCATTTATTTATTATTCATCAGAGAGAGAGAGAGAAAATGAGAGAGAGAGAGAGAGAGAGAGAGAGAGAGAGAGAGAGAGAGAGAGAAAGGCAGAGGGAGAAGCAGGCTCCATGCAGGGAGCCCGATGTGGGACTCGATCTCGGGTCTCCAGGATCACACCCTGGGCTAAAAGTGGCACTAAGCCACTGAGCCACCAGGGCTGCCTGCAACTTGATATTTTCTATCAGCTTTCTAACTTGTATGCTTTTCCTTATTAGCTTGTATCTTTTTCATTCTCTTCCATGGCTACATAGTAATCTATTGTGTGGTTATAGTCCATCTTATTTAGCCAATTTCTCATTAATGTGCACTTAGCTCATTTCTTAATTTATATTAGGGGATGTTAGTACAGAGTGGGTAAGAGAAAAGCCATTTTGCAGCCAGCCTCTTTATACAGTTTTATCAGTTCTCACCATTTCTGACATTACAGTACTAAAATAAAGGTAATGTCAGAAGCTACTCCAGTTCAGTTGTTCAATTATAAAATAGTCTCTCATTTGTTTCGCAAGTATTTATTTGGTACTTCACTATATGCCAGGCACCAGTTTTTGTGTTGGTGATAAGTGGAAAATAAGATAGCATTCTCACCTTTAAAGAATTTACCCCCACTGGGAAGAGATGGATAGTAAACCTGTGCTCTGATCCATAAGTAAATTTCAGATATTGATAGGTCTTGTGGAGATAAAAATAGGAAGATGTGAGTGATGGGTTGCTTCTGGGGAAGACAATGGATGATGACATTGGAGTTGAAATTTGAAAGATGAGAGGGAGGTAGACTCTAAGGATATGGGGAAAATGATCCAAGCAGAGGGAAGGGAAGCTGCAGAGATCATGAGATGGGAACAGACATGTCACCTTTGAGGAACAGTAAGCAGACCAGTATGACTGGAGGTAATAAATGAAGGAGAACACAGGAGGAGAGGAGTCAGAGGTGGGTAGGCCTGATTATGAGGGAGCTGGTAAGATCTTTGCATTTTACTGAGTGTGATGGAAACACGGAAGTTTTAACAGGAGGAACGATATGACTTGGCTTAGACTTCAGAAGGAAAGCCCTGGGTGCTGGGTGGAGGGCAGAGTGTTGAGCAAGGAGGGAGGGAGGGAGAATAGTTAAGAGCCTGGTGGTGATGCTGATGAGGGCTCCAGTGGTAGGGATATTGCGAGATGATTGAGTGCAGATCTGTTTTGGAGGGAGTGAAGCCAGGGACTTCAGATAAATTTATCATGAGGGAGGAAGGAAAGAAGTTGAAGATGACTCGGGATTTTGATGTGAGCAACTGGGTGGATTGTAGTACCTTTTCCTGAGAAGGCTTGTGGACATATCAGGGTTTTTTGTGGGGTGTAGGGGATGGAGGAATCAATAGTTCTGTTAAGTTAGTAGTTGATGTTCTGAAGCTGATGGCCTGAAGCTTGGAAGAAAGTTCAGACCTAAAACAAATGATGACTTTAAAATCAGTCATCAGCATATATGTGGCCATTTGAAGCCAGAAACGGGATGAGATCACCTTGGAGTGTGTAGGTGGAGAAGAGAAGTCATCTGGTAAAGGAGGAACCATTGAAGTGACAGAAGATTCGGGAGCTTGTGGTCTCAGGGAAGCTGAGAGAAGATTGCTTCAAAAGAGAGTAGTCAGCAGTGTCCAGTGCTGCTGACAGAGAGGTCAAGGAAGAGGAGGACCAAGACTTGGCCATTGGCTTGAGGCAAACGTAGTACATCATTGGTGACCTTGATTAAACAAAGGTGTTTTCATGTCATGGCAGAAGTAAAGTGGGTTGAGGAGATGTAAAGGATCAGAGAGGAAAGAGTTTTTTGCTGTGAAAGGTAATAGAAATAAGACTCGGGGACATTTTATAATATTAAGGTGTGTTTGTTTGCTACTGAGAATGATCCAGTATTGGGGGATGAAATTGATAAGGCAAGAGCAAAAGGGAATAATTGTGGAGGGAAATACTTGAAAAGGCAGTGTGGGAAAGGGTCAAGGCCAAGTGAAGTGTTTAGCCTTAGAAAAGAATCAGGGATGCATCAAATCTAGTACCAGATGAAGGTGGGGAGTGTAGGCACTGATACGGATAGGCGGTGACATTGGTGCCTTCAAGGATCCTCTTTCCTCTGGGGGAGGATGGACAGTAAATAAAGGATTGCAGTGTGCCAGATGGTAAAAATAGAGCAGCAGAGAGGGAGCAACTTGGGATGGGACAAGTTCTGTATAAGATGGTGAGGGACACTTCTCACTGATAATGTGTCATTGAAGCAAGTGAGCCAAGTGGGTATCTGCGGAAAGATCATTTCAGACAGAGGGATGTAGATAGATCAGAATATAAGAGCTGTCTCATTCTTTGTAATGGTCATATAGTATCCCATTGACTGCTACAGTATTTTTGTTTTTTAGCCAGTTCTTTGTTGATGGGCATTTAGGTTATTCTGATCTAGTATAAACAATGCTCTAGTAATATATTTAATAGTTGCATTATATTCTATTTTGTAGTCCTAATTATTAAAATAGTTATCTACTATTGTTGGGTATTTGGATGTTTTTCCAACTTTATTATAATTCTGACATGTAGTTGCATATACCTTTTGCACATATCTGTTTGGGAGAAATTCCTACATGTAGCATTGTTGGATCTAAGAGTATTGTACATTTTCAAAGGATTTTGATCTATATCTGTTGCTAAATTGCATTTCAGAAAGGTTGCTCAATTTTCATGTCTATATAAGTGCTGGTTTTCCTGTATCCTTGCCAACGGTGGATATTACCATTTTTAAAAATTTTGCTGATTTGATAGCTACAAATTGTTATCATTGTTTTAAAACGTATTTCTGTCACTAGTGAAAACGGAGCATTTTTGGTATATTTCGTTGGGCATTTGTCTTTTTAATATTTTTTTAAATTTAAATTCAGTTTGCCAACATATAGTATAAATCAGTGCTCATCCCATGAAGCCCTCCTTCATTTGTCTTTCTTGTCAGTTGCCTAGCCTTGGCCTTTGAGCAAAAGGTATGGAGGTGTGGTGTAAGGTATTTTGTTTCTAACTGATTTATAGTTGTGATATTTTAAGGATATTCACCCTTTGTCACTGTAGAGTTGTTTTCCAGTTTGACATTTGCCTTTTATTTTTGCTTTTGGCTTTTGGGGGACTGGATGGGTAGAGAGCATGTTTTAAAAACAAGTCGGCCAGTCTTCTGAGATTATCATTTCAGTATTATGTTTAATTTTTTTGTTCTTAAACAGTTTTGTTATTCACTCAACTTTATAGTTTAGAAGAATAGAGAGGGATTTAATTTTTTCTTAGTTTCTTTTGGCCTGTGCCATATATTGAAATGTACCTTTGGTCACATGATGGATCTCTGATATGCTATTGTTTGACATTTTTATTATACACCCAGTATTTTTTTTTTGATGAGAAAATTGATTTTTTTTAAAATCTTAATTCCAGTGTAGTTAACATATAGTTTTAAATTTCAGGGGTGCAACACAGTGATTCAATACTTCCATATATAACTCAGAGCTAATCACAAGAAGTATACCCAGTATTTGTTTTTGAGGCTTTTGGACATCTCTTCCATTGACTTATGTATCTGCCAACCATATTTCACTGATTTCAAGTCCTGTAAATTCCACATTTCAAAAAAAAATAAATTCCACATTTTATCTTTAAATTTGGACTACATCTTCCAAACAGCTGTTGCTTGGATGGCAGTTGAGTTCTTCCCAAGATGGTTTGCATTTTTTTCTGGCATTTACTAAGGCAGTGCTACCAACGTGAGTCTGCTTAAGCTAATTTCTCTGCTTGAGATATTTTGGACTATGTTGCCAGTGTGAATTCAGACCACAAAACTTGTAGGCTTATAGAGCTGGGGGACCAGTTCAAATATCAAGGAATATTTTTTCCTCCTCTTACCATTGTCAAGGAAGAAGTGTGCAGACTTCTTTGCTGGCCCTTGTAGATGAAGGGTTATTTTTCTTTACCTCTCACTTGAGGCTGTAGCCATCCAGTATCCCCACTTTTTGTGGTTTCTGTCTCCTTTTAGACTCTGTATCCTGAGTATCCTTCCTCGTTTCTGTGTGGTTACAAAAAAATAGCGGTCTTACATTTGATGGTGTCTTACATTTAGTGAAATATGGTGTTTTGGTGATTGTAACTTGATAGATTTTACTGTCTGGTAGTGCAGGGACTTAGTATACCATGAGTCCTGGCTCCCGTTCCAAGTGAATTTTGTAATGACATAAGTTCCCCTGACAGTTTCTTTCTGCAAGACAAAACAAAACAGAACAAAACCCAAACAATGTAGTTCTCGGATTTTAATAATCACCTAACAGGAAAAACTTAAGAACCTTTCATTTATTTATTCACTGTTCATTGTTTTGTCTCTTCTTATACTTGATTATAAAATTTGGGTGGGAACTTAATTAAGTTCCTGATAACTGTTTTAAAACTATAAAATTAGGGCAGCTTGGGTGGCTCAGTGGTTTAGCGCCGCCTTTGGCCCAAGGTGTGATACTGGAGACCCTGGATCGAGTTCCACGTCGGGCTCCCTGCATGGAGCCTGCTTCTCCCTCTGCCTGTCTCTGCCTGTCTCTCACTCTGTGTGTCTCTCATGAATAAATAAATAAAATCTTTTAAGAAAATAATAAAACTATAAAATTATTAATTTAGAATATCGACAGTTCTCTACATGGTTCATTTAAGTGTAGAGCACTTCTGTTGAATAATTCTTCTATGTGTATCTCCTCGATTCCTTTTTAGAGTTGTTCTTTTTTTAAAAGATTTTATTTATTCATGAGAGACTCAGAGAGAGAGGCAGAGACACTGGCAGAGGGAGAAGCAGGCTCCATGCAGGGAGCCCGACGTGGGACTCGATCCTCGGTCTCCGGGATCATGCCCTGGGCTGAAGGCAGACACTAACCTACTGAGCCATCCAGAGATCCTCTAGAATTGTTCTTTAAAAAGCCTCACATGGGGGGATCCCTGGGTGGCGCAGCGGTTTGGTGCCTGCCTTTGGCCCAGGGCGCGATCCTGGAGACCCGGGATCGAATCCCACATCGGGCTCTCGGTGCATGGAGCCTGCTTCTCCCTCTGCCTGTGTCTCTCCCTCTCTCTCTCTCTCTCTCTCTCTGTGACTATCATAAATAAATAAAAAATAAAATAAAATAAAATAAAAAAGAATAATCTTTAAAAAAAAAAAAAAAAAAGCCTCACATGGGGATCCCTGGGTGGCGCAGTGGTTTGGCGCCTGCCTTTGGCCCAGGGCGCGATCCTGGAGACCTGGGATCGAATCCCACGTCAGGCTCCCGGTGCTTGGAGCCTGCTTCTCCCTCTGCCTGTGTCTCTGCCTCTCTCTCTCTCTCTCTCTCTCTCTCTCTGTGACTATCATAAATAAATAATAAAAAAAAAATTAAAAAAAAAAAAGCCTCACATGACCTTCACAGAAATTTTTTCTTTTACTTTCTGTACTCATTTCGTTCTGAAGATCTCCCATGCCCATTAGTCTCACTGGATGCTCTCTGCTACCCTCTGTCCCTTCAGAAGCCACGAGGCCTTGTGCTCACAGTCTGTGTTCTTTGGAGGTGGCCAACAGTGCAGATGTGGCAGTGCTGAGTGCCCGATGGAATATTGTCTTCCCTCAGGAAGGAACAGCAGTGCTTTTGTGTTTTATTACTGTTAAGTTTGCAAATCTTACCAAAGATTATGTTTTTCTTTTAAAGACTTTCTTGTCTTTCCAGAAAGTCAGAGTAGAAATTACATTGCTGAGTAAACCTTCAGAGGACATTCCCAGTTTGCTCCCGTGATGGATGATGGAAAAGCAGTTCATCGGCATTTACTCGGGAAGAATTCTCACAAGTAAGAAGTCACTTAAAAGAAAACATACAGAACAGAAAGACAATGAAGAAAATCAGTACCACATGTGGACAGTATAGATAAGAAAACATAATTTTTCAAATGATGCGATTAAAATTTCCTCCGATCAGTTTAGTTGTACAGCTGTCAAAGCGACGCGTGATACCAATGAAGACATATTTGTGGCATGCAGGCGGTTATTTCTGTTTCTTAAAAAGCTATTGCCAATGGGCTATTAAACTTGCATTTTTAAAAATTAATGTAGTATGTTCTTTTTTTCAAGTATGGACTTCTTGAGAAACTGTAGTAGTAAGATTTTCCAAAAATTTATGTTCTATTTTTAAATGTGAGTTGTAGTTCTCCGAGCTGCTTTACCATGGAGTCATCTGTATCTAAGAGGAAGTAGCCAAGATTGCTTATATTCCAAGCTGAATCTGAGGTTTTATGAAGCCTTTCAGGCACTCACTCAGTGCGTAGTTGTGCAAGTGAAATGTTCCTGCAGCACGGAAGTCCTTGACATGCTCTCCTGGCACATCCATGTCCAGCAGGGGTGTGGGGGACAAATGGGAGGCTTCCCATTTTGTCATCTGAGGTAGCTGTGCAGCTGCCTCGTTGCTAAACTTTTAATTAATGTGAGAACCAAAGTAGAGTTTCTTGGGTTTTTTTCCTTTGTATTAATTTCACTTATACCAAAGTGTTTCAAAGTATGAAATGTATTGCTTCTAGACTATAAATCTACTTCTTGAAAAGACTGTTCTGTAATATTCCACTTTGTTTTACTATAACTTCAAATTATCTTAAATATTTTCCTAATACTACATGGGAATGCTGATTTTTCTTCTTTTGTTATGCAGTAGAAACATTTTACACTGTTTATTACATAGTTCTCATGGAACATAGAGTTTTTTGAAAGCAACATGATACACATTTTTTGTGTATATATTCTAATTAGTGTGAATAAAATAGCAACTGCATTTTTAAAAAGCAGCAAACGTCTGTATTTTTTTCTTCCTTGAATATTTCTGTGATTTCAGCATTTATTGACTTTTCACTGTGAGTACCTGCTGTATGTATTTAATTCATAGCATTTACTCCTAATAATAGAAGTAGGACAGAACCGTTTTAGAGCTGCAAGTGATCTCAGGTAGCATAAATTCCTTCCAACCACCTCTTTCTGCAGCTGAGGACATGACACTGCATGCCTTTCTCTGCAGATCTAGTGGCAGATTGGGGCTGGAATACACTTTCACTGACTCCTCTTGGCCTTTATGTCTCTGGATCTAGTACTACTGTTTTTCTTTTAATTTGTACTTCCCCCAAATAGAAGAAAGATATATATTTATGTATATAAATATATGTTTTAAAAGATTTTATTTATTTGACAGAGAGCATAAGCACAGGGAGCTGCAGGCAGAGGGAGACGGAGAAGCAGCCTCCCCACTGAGCAGGAAGCCCGATGTGGGACTCGATCCCAGGACTCTGGGATCATGACCTGAGCCAAAGACAGATGCCTAACTGACTGAGCCACCCAGGCACCCCAAAGGTTATTTGTATATACTTAATAAAATCCAGTTTGATTTTTCAATTTATAGCTGGTTTCAGCTGCATCATTCAGCCTATGTCTTCTGAGTATTGTGGGCAGAGAAGAAATAATTGAACCAATGTCAAAAGAAATTTTAGGAATCTTGAGATTTTAATACTTGAAATATAAATTAGAGTGTTTTGGTGACTCTGCCTATGGGCATATTTATATTACTCTTAAATTTTTTTTTTAAAGATTTTATTTATTTTGAGAGTGTGCATGCACAGGGTGGGGTGGGGTGATGGGAGCAGAGAGAGAGGGAGAGAATGTTAAGCAGGCTCCATGTCTTGCACAGAGCCTGACTTGAAGCTTGATCTTGAGACCCTGAGATCACGACCTGAGCCACTAAGGCACCCTACTCTTCAATTTCTTAAACAAAAAAACCAAAAAAGCTAAACTATTAGTAGGTCCCCTGAGGGTGGAATCTGCACTTGTTAGCATATTGTTCACTATTGGTACCACCATGCCTAGCACAGTCTTGTCACATAGTAAGGCACTTTCCAAATATTTTTTGAATAAAAGAATTCTAAGAATCAAAAATATTATTTAACACTTGGAAAAGACCTTGGGAAACCATTCAGATCAGTGGTTTGTGAACTTTTAAAAAGCAGCAGAATCCCTTTTTCAAGTGAGAACTTTAACCAAATTCCAGAATGCAATCTAGATGCAAGCAGAGCTGCTGAGTCCAGCTTGACGACCTCTTTCCCCAGCAAGAGCCCATCCCCTCCTGAGACCTCCCACTCCAGCCCCTAATCTGGTTAATGCCCTCACTTTGCCCAGGTGGGAAGGTCAGGGCTCTCCTTCTTCAGAAAGGGTTTCATATGCAGTGTGTGGGACAAAAAAAAAAACAAAAACATCAGTGTCTAAAGTTGGAGGTCAGAGTCCTCATAGCATAGATGATGGTAATGTGGCTGGTTCACTCGTCGAGTAACAAGGGGAAAGTACTTTCCAGCTCTGACAGACCTGTGTGTTTCTACCAAGTAAGGGTGTTCCTCAAAATCAGAGTAATTATAACAAACTACATAGGTCATATTGATTTTTGAGGCAAGTGTATTATTGGAAAGGTGTGATCTGGATAGAGCCTTGGCAGTGAGGCAGAGGGTAGATAACCACCATCCTGGCAGGAAGATCATAAGTGTGAGAGACTCAGGATGTATGCTCTCACTGTAAACAGGGTGCCGGCGATCCGGACTGTTCCAGAACACCCAGGATGATTGGCCATGGTATTTATATTGCTGTTGTTTTAGGTTTCTGTGATGTGAGGCATCTCACTACCTTAGTGTGTACCAAGGAATACCCTGGTGGTGACTTGGATTCCTGTGTAGATTTTGCCATCTGGGAAGAGGGTGAACTGAACTGCAGGGCATTTGGTTTTCTTTTTAAAAATATGTTTTTATTTATTTATTCATGAGAGACACAGAGAGAGAGAGGCAGAGACACAGGCAGAGGGAGAAGCAGGCTCCACGCAGGGAGCCCGATGTGGGACTTGATCCCAGGACTCCAGGATCACGGCCTGGGCCAAAGGCAGGCGCCCAACCGCTGAGCCACCTGCGTGTCCCAGCATTTGGTTTTGTAGGTTACAGTTCTCGGAGCTTGGTAGGTTGGCCTTCTGGTTTTAAGGAGTCAATTCCGCAGGTGGGTCCTCTAAGAGGAGTTGATAGAATTTAGCTCCTTGGGGAGCTGTGGTGCCAGCACGGTGTCCCTGCTGTTATCCATCCCCACGGAGCCCTGGTGGACCGTCAGCTGATTTGTCTCCCCCAGATGTCTGTCCTTCCAGCAGGCGATCAGCCTTGTCCTGGCATTTCACCTCCAAGATGAGCTCTCCAGAACCTTGATAGCATCATAAAGAGCTCTGGTGCCCACCGGCCTTTGTGTCCAGGCTCCTAGGTGTGGCTGCTCGTGCAATACTTTCTCGGCAAGCAACGCATTTTTTGGTTTTGGTCAGTTTGCTCTACCAAGAAATACCTCAACCTCAGTCGTGAGACCAAACAGAAATAGTAGCATGCATGTGACAGCTCCAGACATGCTAGCAGCGCTCAGAATGTCACTTGCTCTTAGCACAGTTACTGATCTGTCACCAGGAGCACTCTTCATGGCTAGCTGGTACCACTTCCTGTCGTCCTGGGCCATACTGGGGCCAGGTTTCTCAGAGCTGAGAGCTGCCAGTAGCTATGCAGGTGTGTGAAGCGTGGCAGCCTAGAGGAGGTGGTGGTCCTTAGAAAGGAAAACAAGGTGCGATGGAGCCAGTTGGGGTGGGAATGCTAATGCTGATTTGCCTGCTTTATGCAGATAGCAGGACGCTTAGCACAGAAAAGTTGGAAAATAACTTCGCCTTGTTAACACCAATGGGAGCTGGTGAGATAATGCAGCCTCTTTACTTCACATTTCCTTCTCTTAGTCTCAGGTCAAGGGAAGAGAATTTGGACATTTATACATGCTTAATATTCTAGGAAACTACCATAAAATATGTTCAGTATGTATGAAACTATATAACGACACATAAAACACACCAGGGATTATCAAGGACCCATCTATGAGCTAGCAGATTCATTAGAGGGTGAGCTGCAGTTCAGGTTCAGGGACAGATGGAAATGGTATACTTTAGATGACTACCATGTTTTTCTGTCATTTCTATTAAAAGGTGACTTTTAAGAGACTGTCATGGAAATTTTCACTTACACAAAAGTATGGGGGATGGTGTAATGAAACCCATGTAGCCTTCCCCTCGCTTCAGTGATGCTGTCAGGGATGGCCTCCCAAGGAGGTGGCCCAAAGGACAGGTGAGGGGTGGGAGCTAGGTGAGATGGGGGAGGGGTGGCTGCATTCAGGACTTGTGGGGGGGATGTCAGGCAGGCAAGGGCATCACACCCTCGGGCCACTGGAAGAAATTAGGTTGTTAGGCATAAAATGCGAAACATAGCCAAGTGTGTTGTATGATTTTCATTAAAATATTTGTTTTATTTTTTAAATGATTTTTCTTTAAGTTTTTTTTGTTTGTTTGTTTTTTTAAGATTGTACTTATTTATTCATGAGAGACACACAGAGAGGCAGTGACGTAGGCAGAGGGAGAAGCAGGCTCCACGCAAGGAGCCCGATGTGGGACTCGATCCCGGGACTCCAGAATCACGCCCTGGACCAAAGGCAGATGCTCAATTGCTGGGCCACCCAGGCGTCCCGTCCCAAAATATTTGTTTTATTGTTTTATTGTATTGAGAGAGAAGGAAGAAGGGCCAGAGTGGGAGGGAAAGATTTTTTTTTAAAGATTTATTTATTTATTCATGATAGAGAGAAAGAGAGAGGCAGAAACACAGAGGGAGAGGCAGGCTCCATGCTGGGAGCCTGACGCGGGACTCGATCCCAGGGCTCCAGGATTGCGCCCTGGGCCAAAGGCAGGCACCAAACCGTTGAGCCACCCAGGGATCCCCCCCAAAATATTTGTTTTAAAGACAACATTTCTAACAGCGCCTTTTCTTCCTGTAATGATTTAATAGCATTCAGTCCTGTTGAAAGAACAGTTTGGAATATTGGCAAGTGCTCGCTCCTAGCGAAACTGCATTCCTTTCCTGCCCCTCTCAGATCCATGCCTGGCTGCTTCTCTGAGACTCACTTTCTTCCCATACCAGGGTGTATTTATTGGTGAGGACTTACAGAGCTGTTTTGCAGGGCACCTCTGACTACTGGAGAAGCTTCCCGTGAATGAGGCTGCTGTCGTTCAGAGAATGTTCCTCCCTGGGCTAGAGCTGGGGTGGGCACTTGGGTTTGGGCATTGACCGTACGCGTTCCAGCCCCCTCTGTGTAGTCTTTACGGGAGTCTGTTGGAGGTGGATGTTCACCCCGTTATACAGATGAGAGAACTGAGGCTTCTGGAAAGGAGCCGTCTTGCCAGGGCCACACAGTTAGTGGCAGGGCTGAAAAAAGTGCACCTAAACCTCAAAAATTAAGGGAAGTCTTTTCAAATACTTGCAGATTGACTGCCTGAGTCTGTTTGGAAACGCCAGGCAGTCACAAAGCTTAATTCATTATTACTGCATAAGCCGAAACCTCTTCAGATGATACCTATGGAAGAAAAGGATAAGTTTTAGGAGCTGTGGGTTATGATTTGCTTTATTGTTTTTGCCTGAAGTGCTGTTTTCTTTGATGGAGGGCTAAAAGCCTCTTGTTTTTTTTTTTAATAAATTAATTTTTATTGGTGTTCAATTTACCAACATACAGAATAACACCCAGTGCTCATCCCGCCAAGTGCCCTCCTCAGCGCCCACCACCCATTCACCCCCACCCACGCTCCCCTCCCCTTCCACCACCCCTAGCTCGTTTCCCAGAGTTAGGAGTCTTTATGTTCTGTCTCCCTTTCTAATATTTCTCACACATTTCTTCTCCCTTCCCTTCTATTCCCTTTCACTAT